AGCAGCAGCAGCAGCAGCAGCAGCAGCAGCAGCAGCAGCAGCAGCAGCAGCAGCAGCAGCAGCAGCAGCAGCAGCAGCAGGAAGGAGCACGCGCAGTGAATCTCTCGCGTTGCGGCCCCAGCAGCCGCAACAGTGGCAGCAACCGCACCAAAAAGAGCAGCAGCCGCAGCAACAGCATCATCGGCATCAGCAGCAGCAGCAGCAGCAGCAGCAGCAACATCAGCAGCAGCAGCATCACCAGCAGCAGCAGCACCACCGCCTCGATCATCAGTGCCATCACCAGCAGCAGCAACAGCATCACCAGCAGCAGCAACAGCAGCACCACCACCACCACTGTCACCGTCACCAGCAGCAGCAGCAGCACCATCACCATCACCAGCAGCAGCAGCAGCAGCAGCAGCAGCAGCAGCAGCAGCAGGAGCAGCAGGGTACCGCTGGCGCAGAGGTAGAACTGGTAAAGGGAGTGTTCGGTGGCTCTGAAGAGAAAGGCTTTGGCGAGTTCTTGAGGAAGGAAAACAGCAGGATTTGAAAAGTCTAATTTGAAATGATTTAAAAGAGATTTAACTTCTGAAAGTTTCATTTCTTTTTTCCCAACAAGGAGGCCCCCGTGGCCCTCCTCCACGTACCAGCTGCTGCTGCCCGTGCCCCACTCGCCCTCCTCCCCCTCCTGCTGCTCCTGCTGCTGCTGCTGCTGCTGCTGCTGCTGCTGCTGCTGCTGCTGCTTGCGGCTGCTGCGCTTCTTCACAATTTCTCGAGATAATGTCAAATAGTCTCCAAAAACTCCATGACAATAAGCTTTGTCTAAGGGAACAAATGCATCTCCTGTCAGCAAAGACACTCGACTTACGAGGCCCTCTCCCTCTTCCTTTACCCGCTGCAAGCCCCCAGGGGGGCCCCCGGGGGGCCCCCCTGGGGGGCCCCCAGGGGGGCCCCAAGGGGGGGCCCCAAGGGGGACCCCCGGGGAGCTCCCCGTGGGGGCCCCCGGGGACGACGGCCCCAGGAGGGGGCCCCCGGGGGCCCCCTCGCTGGGGGGGGCCCCTGGCTGGGGGCCCCCTGGGGCCGAAAGGCCCGCTGAAGAGAAGTTCGAAAAGGTCAGGGAAATGACAGCTTTAGAGGGCCCCTGGTCGCTCCAGTATTCCCTAATGTATTCAAAGAGGCGGGGCTTTTCTGCGCTGCGCAAAAGGCTGCTGGGGGCCCCGCTGGGGGCCCCCTTGGGGGCCCCCTCCGGGGGGGCCCCCCAGGGCCCCACGCCCTCGGGCCCCAGGGTACTGCCCCCACGGGGGGCCCCCCTCTCCGCCCCACAACACACAAAAATGGCCTTTGCAATTGCAGACTTCCCCTGGCCATTTCCTCCTGCAAAGGGCACAGCAGCACTCAGCAGCTGCAGCGGCTCAGGGGGCCCTCAGGGGGGCCCCGGGGGCCCCCAGAAACCCCTAAAGTGAGCCACAGGGCCACCAGCAAATGCCTAGCAGTGGAAAGCCTCAATGGAAAGAAAAAGGGACTTTTAAAAAAAGAATAAAAATTAGAAAAGAATAAAATAAAACTTGGAGAAGAATTGAGTGGATAAAGTCTACACTTGGAATCTAAACTTTGCAGATTTATTTATTTATTTATTTGTTCACAACATAGAGAAAGGGCCCCCGCAGCAGAAGCTGCTGCAGCGCAGCCAGGGGCCCCTCTGTACCCTGGGGGCCCCCAAGGGGGCCCCCAGGGTACAGCGGGAGCAGCTGGGGGGCCCCCGGGGCCCCTGGGGCCCCCCGCCTTGGGGGGCCCCCCGGGCCTGAGTCCCCAGTGAGAGGGCAAAAGAGCATAGCCGATTAATGAATAGCTAGAAGTTATATTTATTAATTTATTTATTTATTATTTATTATTTATTTATTTATTTATTTATTTATTTATTTATTTATTTATTTATTTATTTATTTGCAAAAACGCACCCAAAATTATGTTCACGTACGGAGAAGGCTCCCAACTCAAATGTTCATGATTGCAAAAGTCCCTCAAAACCACTTTTGCGATTTTCCCAGCACTTCCATAAAATGGGTCCATTTGTCTTTGACAAGTCCCCGACGAGGCCCCCCTCCCAGGGGCCCCGGGGGCCCCCCTGGGCCCCTGGGGCCCCTGGGGCCCCTGGGGCCCCTGGGGCCCCTGGGGCCCCTGGGGCCCCCGGGGCCCCCGGGGCCCCCGGGGCCCCGGGGGCCCCGAAGGCCCCGGGGCCCCTGGGGGCCCCAAGGGCTCTGGGGACTCTGGGGGCCCCGGGGGCCCCGGGGGCCCTCGGGGGGCCCTGGGGGCTGCGGGGGGTTTGGAGGGTCTGGGGGCCCCCCGAGGGGCCCCTTGGGAGGCAGCAAAAGGGTTCATGGAAGAAACACCAACCCCACCAATTCCCAGAACTAAAACGGGGCTTTCTTCAGCAGCAAACTCACCACTAGAGGGGGGCCCCCCTCCATTCGCACCGCTAGAAGGGGGCCCCCCTTCATTTCTCTCAGGGGTTGAAGCAGCAGCAGCAGCAGCAGCTGCTGCTGCTGCTGCTGCTGCAGAAGCAGCAGCAGCTCTGTCTTGAGGCAGGCCGGCACTACTTCCAGAAGCATTCCCTTCAAGCCTCCCAAGGGGGGCCCCCTTGGGGGCCCCCTGGGGGCCCCCCTGGGGGGCCCCCTTGGGGGCCCCCTGGGGGGCCCCCTGGGAGGTCCCCTGGGGGGGCCCCTGGGGGTCACTTGTGGACGTCTCGAGGGGGCCCCTGGGGGCCCCCCTGTGCCTCTTTTGGGTTTTTCTTTTGTTTGCGGGTTTAGGAGAAGTGCTGCCTTCTAAAGATGAACAGCACGGGGGGCCCCCCGAGGGTACTAAAGGGGGGCCCCCAAGAGGGTCCGGGGGGCCCCTAGAGGCTGCAGAGGGCCCCGAAGGCTGCAGAGGCTCTTCATCCTGGGGGCCCCCAAAGGGGTCCTCTGGGGGCCCCCGCTTCTGAGGGGGGGCCCCAAGAAGTCCAGGGGGCCCCTCGTCTGCTGCAGTCTCCTCCGAGGCCAAAGAGGGCTCGTCGACAGAATAAACTGCAGCAGGCAGCGGGGGCCCCTCCTGGGGGCCCCCCCGTGGCTTGGAGGGGGCCCCCCGGGGGGCCCCCCGGGCCCTGGCGGGGGGCCCCCGTTTAGGTGCAGCTGTGACCCTTTGGGGGCCCTCTTCCCCCCCAGAACTCTCGGAGCTCTTTGTCAGGTCCACCATCTCAAGGGGCCCCTTTTGCTGCAGCGGCAGGACCCTTTTAGGGGCCCCCGGGGCCCCCGAGGCCCCAGGGGCCCCGGGGGCCCCCGGGGCCCCCCCTTGTCTGCGCTGGGGGGCCCCCCCTGCCTCTTCTCCCAGCTTTTCCGTCTTGAGCTGTTTCAGCAAAAATCCTGGGCTTCTCCAGGCCTCCTGGGGCCCCTGGGGGCCCCTCGGGGGGCCCCCCTGGGGTGTGCTGCTGCCAACCACCCCCCCGTGTTGGGGGCCCCCCAAGCCTCCCCCCCGGGGGGCCCCAGGGGCCCCCCGGGAGGGCCCCGGGCTCATTGCAGAGCTGAGGGCCTCGGGCTGAGCTGCTAAGGGAAGACAGCGGCGGGGGGCCCTCGGTTGCTGCAGCGGGGCCCCATGGCTGCTGCAGGGTCAGTGGCTGGGGGAGGCAAACCCGCTCTTTTTCCCCTTCTTTTGCACTTCAAGTGAAACAAAGATAGTCATTACTCTAAATTAAATATATTTCCTTCGAATTTGCCGGCAAAGTAGCTGCTACACAGCCTAGGGGTCCGGGGGGCCCCCCTGGGCCGGCAGCAGGGGCCCCCCGGCTGCAGGGGGCCCCCCTTTGGCTGCTGGGGGCCCCTGCCGTCTCAAGAGCCATCCAGCCCCTTTCAGGGGCCCCGAGGGCCCCCATAATACCCTTTTCTCTTTTTTGTATATTTATTTGCCTCGTGGACTCACGTGAGAGGGTCTAGGGGGCCCCTTCCTTCTGGGGGCCCCCAAATTTGCAGGCACCGGCCCGCTGCAGCAGCAGCAGCAGCAGCAGCAAGCAGCCTTGGCTTCCTGGTGCCATTGCTGGGGCCCCCCTAGCTCTGCAGGACTCGCAGGAAGGGCCCCCTGAGGTCCATACGCGGCGCTGCTGCCGCTGCTGCTGCGCTGCTGCAGCGACTCTACAGCAGCAGCAGCAGCAGCACTGCAGCAGCAGCAGCAGCAGCAGCAGCGGGAGTGCCGGCGCGTTGCCGCGGACTAACCATGCGGCGCTCTTGGAGTGTATGTACAGCGCACATCCCAGGGTTTTCCCTGGTCTTGGCGCAGCAGCTGCTGCTGCTGCTGCATGCTGCTGCGCTGCTGCTGCTCGTGCAGCAGCAGCTGCCTCCCCGTTTGGCGGCCCCGGGAGGGCCCTTTGCGAATGTCCAGCCTCAGGTGCCGCCTTTGGCCAGCCAGGGGCCCATGCAGCAGCAGCAGCAGCAGCAGCAGCAGCAGGAAGGGGTGTTGCTGCTGCAGAGGGAGCAGCAGCAGCAGGAACAAAACGAAAAGTTTCTGTTGCAGCGGCAGCAGCAGCAGCAGCAGCGGCAGCAGCCATCTGCAGGGGCTCTTTCCGAGCCTAATAGAGGCTTGGGCGTTTCTGCAAAGGCAGACAATGCACAAGCCACAGATGCCGCCCCTGCTGCTGCTGCTGCAGCTGCTGCTGCTGCTGCTGCTGCTGCTGCAGCACAAGGCAGATCTTCTTTCCCGGAATCTGCTGCAGCGCAGGGCCCCGCCAGCAAGCCTGTGGGGCCCCCAACTGGAAAAGGCGCTGAAGCTGGGGGGCCCCCCTTTACCCCCTCGAGGGGCCCCCCAGCGCCTGGGGGGGCCCCCAATGTTGCTGCTGCAGGTTTGCTGCTGCTGTGCGGGGGCTGGATGATTGCTGCGCTGCTGCTGCTGTCTCCCTTTGGCTGCATTCCCTTCCTGCGGCACTGCAGCACAGCTCGCCACAACAGGGCCGGGGTGGGAGAGGGGCCCCCAGGGGCCCCCCCGCAGGAGGGGGGCCCCCCGGGGGCCCCCCGGGGGGCCCCCCGGGGGGCCCCCCCAGGGGCCCCCAGAGGGGCAGCAGCAGCTCTTTCTGGGGCTGAAGTGTGGGGCCCCCCGCGCCTGCATGGGGTGTATGTACCCTCTTTGATCACTGAGGTGCTGCCGCAATGTCTTTTATCTTTTTGTGGATCATTAATTGTTTCTTTGTTGGCTTGGGGGGAGTTTGGGGCCCTTATGGCTCTGGGGGCCCCCTGGGGGCCCCCGGGGGGCCCCCTGGGGGCCCCCTGGGGGGCCCCCACCCTCAGCTGGACCTCCCCGTACCCTCCCTGGCAGCTCTCGCTTTCTATTGTTGCTGCTTGCTGCTGCTTCTTTGGTCTTTTCTTTACTTACCCTCTAGCTTCTATTTTCCTTTGGGGGGGCCTCGCGGGGGCCCTCGGGAGTTTGGGGGCCCCCCTGCTGCTGCAGGGTACTGGGGGGCCCCTCGCGGGGGGCCCCGGGGCCCCCACCGCCCTCAGGGCCCTGCCTCCTGGCCTTCTTGCTGCTGCTGCTGCTGCTTATCTTGCGGGGGCCTTTTGCTGCTTCAGAAGAACTAAAGACTTGAGGGGGGCCCTCACATCCACGGTAAGACCCAGGGGCCCCCCGTTAGTACCCTCTTGGGGGCCCCCCTAGCACGCAGCAGCAAAATGTCTCGGGGCTACCCGAACCCTAAAAGGCCCCAGAGCCCCCCTTGGCTGGGGGCCCCCGCAGCAGCAGGGGGGCCCCAGGAGGGGGCCCCCAGGAAGGGGCCCCCAGGAGGGGGCCCCCAGGAGGGGGCCCCCAAGGCACTCGGGGGCCCCAGTAACTGTGGGGGCCCCTTGCGTGTGCTGCTGTGTCTCAGGAGCTGCTGCTGCAGGGCGTGCGCATCTGCTGCTGCTTCGTGTCTTCGCTGATGCTGCTGCGCTGCAGCGTGGGCCCCCGGGGGGGCCCCCAGGCCAGCTTGGGGGCCCCCGGGGGGCCCCCCCTGGACTGGCTGCTGCCCTCTAGTGATTTGCATGCCATTAGGGTACTGCTGGGGGCCTCTGCTGCTTCCTTAGTTGTCTCTGTGGGCCTCTTTTGCTGCGGGGCCCTTTGGGGGCCCCCCGAACTCCGCAGAGACATTGACTACTGCCACGGCTGCACAAGCTGCCCCCCGCCGGGCCTCCCAGCAGCAGCAGCAGCAGCAGCAGCAGCAGCAGCAGCAGCAGCGGGGGGTCCCCACGTGCAGCTGCAGCAGCGGCCGCACGACCCCTGGGCGCTGCAGCAGCAGCTGCAGCAGCAGCAGCAGCAGCAGCAGCCGCAGAAGCGCTTCTTGCAGCTAGCGTCGTTTAATTCCGGGGCACACAGCAGCAGCAGCAGCAGCAGCAGCAGCAGCAGCAGCAGCAGCTCTGCTGCGACGCAGCAAGGCTTCCTCCCTGGCGAGGGCCTCCGCAGCCACGGGGGCCCCGGGGGCCCCGGGCAGCAGCGCTGGCCGGGTGCTGCTGCCTTGCGGCGGGTCTTGCTGCTGCTGCAGCGCAGCAGCAGCCGCAGCCCAAGAACTTTGGGTCTTTAGGGGGGCCCCCCTTCCGTTTTTGGCATTGGGGGCCCCCGTGGGGCCCCCGAGGCCTTTTGTTGTCTCTGTGCATGCAGAGCCATTTAAGACGCGTTGCTTTCAATCTCCAGCGTTTGTTTCAGCGTAACTGCTGCTGCTGCTCTGCTGCTGCTGCTGCTGCTGCTGCTCTGCTGCTGCTGCTGCTGCTGCAGCGAAGCTGCCGCTCCTGCTGTTGCTGCTGCCACCGCCACTTCTGCTGCTGCTGCTGCAGTATTCCGGCCGCTGCTGCTTCTGCTGCTGCAGCGGCAACTACTGCTGCTGCTGCCCTGCCGCTGCTGCTTCTGCTGCTGTCGCGGCTGCTGCTGTTGCTGCTGCTGCTGCCATTGCTGCTGAAGAGCGACACTTCAGCTCGGGCTGCTTTCTTTCATATTGAATTAAAAGACTTCTCTAAAAGTCATTAAAACAATTTATTTATTTGTGATGAGCCAGAGAGAGCCAGACCCGAATTCCCTTCAGCAGCAGCAGTACCCTCATATTCTAGGGGGCCCCCCATTTCCAGCCCAGGGGGCCCCCTTCATTCCACGGGCCTTGGGGGCCCCTGTACCCTTAGGGGCCCCCCTGATACCTAGGGATCCCTACGCAGCTGTGGGGCCCCCCCGTAGTCTAGGGGCCCCCTTTGCAGCCCAGGGCCCCTCCCCTAGCATAGGGGGCCCCCCTGAGACCCTTGCAGTTTCGGGGGCCCCCTGTACCCTACGGAGTTCCCTGCAGGCTCGGGGCCCCCCTGCAGCCTGGGGGGCCCTATGCTGGCCCTAGGGGGCCCTAGGGGGCCCTAGGGGCCAATAGAACTCCCTAAGGGGCCCCACAGTTGGCCTTGGCATGACTCGGCTAAGCAGAAAGATCTTGGGGGGCCCCCCGGGGGCCCCTCTAGCCTGTGAGGGCCCCCACTCTAAGGCTGCTGCAGCAGAGAGGCCCCCGCGGCCTTCTGCTGCAGCAGCAGCAAACAGCACTGGCGTTGCTGCTGCTGCTGCACTCGGTCAGGCACCTATTGAGGCCCCCTGCTGCTTGATCTTGCTGCAGCGCCAGCAGCTCGAGCTGCTCCTCGTGCTGCCATTTTGCTGCTGCAGCGCTTATGCGCTAAAGTGCTAATGGAACGGGGCCTCTGGTGCTGCTGCTGCTGCTGCTGCTGCTGCTGCTGCTGTTGCTACTGGTACTGCAGCTGGCGTTGCCGCTGGCGCCGCTGCTGGTGGTGCTGCTGGTACTGCTGCGGATACTGCTGCTGCTGCTGCTGCTGCTGCTGGCACTGCTGCTGCTGCTGCTGGGCCATGGGGCTGCAGCCAACTGCCCATAAGGAGACAAGCGCGCCTTTGCTGCAGCAGCTTTCACTTAGCTGCCACTTCAGCACCCGAAAGCAGCAGCAGCAGCAGCAGCAGCAGCAGCAGCAGCAGCAGCAGAGGAGCTTCAATATCTAGTAAGAGCTGCGCGTTAGACTTTTGCGGAAGGTCTTTCCTGATGGGCTTCAAAAAGTATTTCTTTTCGGAATTTGTGCAGCAGCAGCAACAGCAGCAGCAGCAGCAGCAGATTAATTATTACAAATCTTTAAAAGTATATTTATCCGATTAAGTTGCTTTTTATTTTTCAATTTGCTGCCACACTTTTCATCTTTCTTCAGGTAATATCCACCCCCAGCTCGCTGGCCAAAGTGCTGCAGAAATTAATTAATTAATTTTATTTTGAACATTTTTAATTTAAAAATAAATTAAATAAATAGTTTTGCGGAAACTAATTTGTTTTAATTTGTTTCAAGTTTAAAGTGATGGCTGCAACTGGAGTTATCTTTTTCAATTAAAAAATAAATTAAATAAATAAATTTGTATAAATTAATTCATTCATTTCATCCTAAATTAAAAAAGATCACTGCGACTGGTGGGATCTCTTGTAATTTAAAAATAAATTAAATAAATAAGTTTGCAGAATCTAATTTACTTTAATTTGTTTTAAATTAAGAATTATCACTGCAACATGAGTGATCTTTCTTAATGAATAATAAATTAAATTAATAAATCAATAGAAATTAATTTATTTAATTAAATTTAAATTAAGAATGATCACTACAGCTGGGGTGATCATTTTTAATTCAGAATAATTAAATAATAAGTTTGCATAAATTAATTTATTTAATTTGCTTCAAAAGAAAAAGGGAAAAGTGTTTCTTTTGGTCCATTTTTGTTCTTTTTTGATAATTATTAAACGCCAGTTAAGCAGCAGAATATAAACAAGTCCAAACCCTCAGCAGCTGGGGTCCTTGTTGGCGCTGCTGCTGCTGCCAGCAGCGGAGCAGCAGCAAATCGCTTCCAGCAGCAGCAGCAGCAATTTCAGCAGCAGCGGCTGCAGCAGCTGCTGCAGCTGCTGCAGTTGCTGCAGCTGCAGCTGCTGCAGCTGCGGCCACAGCTGCTGCTGCAGCAGCTGCTGCAGCAGCAGCTGCGCTGCTGTAGGCAACTCAAGGGGCCCCAGAGGCCCCAGCGGGGCTGCTGCTGGGCATTTTACCTGGGGGGCCCTCCACCCAGCCTTGTGGGGCCATTGTCTTTGGATTAAAAAGATTAATAATTCATTTCTGGGCCTTCTGTTTTAATTTTATTTTTGGATTAAAAAGATTAATAATTCATTTCTGGGCCTCCTGATTTAATTTTATTTACTCTTAAGGCCCCACAGCTCTGCCGCACAGTCCCAGCTGGCTGCAGCAGAGCTGCGGCGGCATCCCAGGGGGCCCCAGGGGGCCCCAGGGGCCCCCCTGGGGCCCCAGGGGGCCCCAGGGGGCCCCAGGGGGCCCCAGGGGGTCTCCACGGCTCTGCCCACCCTGGGGAGCCTCTAGGGGCCCCCCGGGCTCTATCCAGCCAGGGGGCCCCTAGGGGCCCCCGGCACTCTACCCAGCCCAGAGGGCCCCTGGGGCCCCCGTGGGCCCTACGCAGCCTGGGGGGCCCCTGGTGCCCCCCAGGACCCTCTCTTCCAAGCCTGGGGGCCCCCTGGGGCCCCCCAGGACTCTCTCTATCCAGCGTGGGGGCCCCCTGAGACTGCTGGCGAGGCCCTCTCTGGCGGCTGGGTCTGGGGGCCCTTTATAAGGGCCCTGTAGGGCCCAATGAATTAAAATAATGGGGCCAAAGTACTTGTAGTATTTTAAAATAACAATCATTTAAATAAATCAGGTAATTTTTTCCCCACAAAGTGCCTTCTAGGACACTCTGTGAGCTTTTCTGGGGCATTTTAAGAGGCTTTTCTGTCAAAAGTGCCTTTCTTTTTCAATTATAAAAATACCAACTTAGTTCAATTATAAAAATACCGACTTAGTGCAGAATTTGATCACTTTGGGCCTTTTGAAGCCCTACAAAGTGCATTAGACTTGCATGCCTTTAGCTGGGTGACTGGGGGTGACCAGTGGTCCACTGGTGGTCAAACTTCAATTCCGTTTTTCGATTTCTTTCTTCTTTTAAAAGCCACAGCCCAGGATGAAGCAGCAGGCCAGTTGGGGGGCCCCTAGTGACACAAATAAGACCTAAAAAGCCAAATTAAAACATTAAAAAGGCCCCCAAAACAGCTTCCACTCAAACCCCTAATAATAAGAAGCAGCTTCTTTACCTCAAACTCTCCTGGGGGCCCCCATGGGCCCCCGGGGGCCCCCGGGGGCCCCCGGGGTAAGCGTTGGGGGCCCTTGGGGCCCCTGCAGGGCCCCAGGGGGCCCCCCACAGGGGGGCCCCCTGGGGCCCTTGCTAATTTGCAAGAAGTCCGTTTGGATAGCTAAGATGCAATTAGTTCTCTGGAGCAGCAAATATGCACGAAGTCCTCGGGAAGTTGTGAATTTGAAAAAAGTTTTTTATGTTTTTAGAAGGTGGTTAATATGTTTTTAGTTGTTTTGAAGTGGCTAATATGCACTTCTTTGAAAATGGCGAATATTCACTAAGTCCTTTCTGGAGAAAGAATCCGCACTGAGTCCTTTGGGAGTTGTCAGTATGCTCTGAGCCCTTGGTGCTTCTGTAGCTGCTGCGTGGGGGTGCAGGGGAAAGTTTTGCTGCTGCGTCTCTTAGCGGCTGCTGCGCTGCTGCTGCTGCTGCTGCTGCAGTGGTGCTGCTTGTGCTGCAGCAGCTCAGCTGCCAGCAGCATCCACAGCAGCTGGAAGCCGCAAAAGGACCTTTTCTTGCCCACTCAACCCCGCGAGTTCTACCCCAAAGGTACTAATAGCTTGGCCGCAGCAAAGCCCGAAAGCCCCAACTCTGGGGCCCCAATGGGGCCAGTCCTGGGCTTTTCGCCCCACAGGGGGCCCCCTGGGGGCCCCCCTGGGTCGTGCATGCAAGTGAAACACCATTGCATGCAGAGCTGGGTGGGGTTTGGGGACTGGGGGCCGCAAAGTTGAACTCCTTGAGTTCGAAATCAGCAGCAAGTTGTTCCTGAGGCTCCCGCGAGCACTCTCTGGACCGCAGGGGAAGTGCGTTTGAGTAAAGTCTGCTAAATTTCAACAATTGAATTTCATTTTATTAATTAAATGACCTTTAAAGGACTACCGGGGGCGCGCACACAGCAGCCCCAGCTAACCCTGAACAGGAGCGCTGCAGCAGCAGGCCAAGAGGCGGAAGTGTGAAGCTCGATTGCGCATTAAAATGCAATTTTGCTTAAAATAATTTAAAGATTTCATTTTAAAACTTAAATTTTGAAGGCTGCTTTCGATGGATCTCATCGAGAGGCGAAGAGCGGCAGCCAGCTGGCGTGTAGCGATCATCGAGACTGCAGGGTGCGCAGGAAGGGGGGGAGGGGAGCCCCCGAGGGAGTTTTGGAGCTGCAATTGTGTTGAATTGGATTTAATTTGCATTTCTGGAATTTCTGGGGCTTCAAATTTGGAAAAAATAGGCGAAGTTTCACGGCGGAGTGCAACATCGGAAGTCCCGGCAATGTGGGGTGCGCCGACCCGAGGCGCAGGCAGCGCGGTTGAGCCGCATCTGCCGCTCGTTTGGGCTTAAAAAAAAGGGGACTTTGAAAAGAAATGTTTGCAAATAATAAAAGGGAAAAAGAATAGCATTTCGAGGGCCTCGCGCGCGCCCCGCGCGGGCTAGACAGCCCAAACCGAGCAGCCGGGGGGCCCGCCTGCTGCGTTGGCTGGGGGCTGAGGTTGACTGCATCATCCCCTGCCCCTATCGGTGCCTCGGAAGAGAGGAATCTGCTGGGGAGCGGATCTGAATTAGTTCTTTTTCTTTTCTTTTCTTTTCTTTATTTCTCTCCGTGGCGGATCTGCATTTGGTTTCCCCTGCGCTGCTCACTTGTCTTGCCGCCAAAGTCGCCCCGGGCTCTCCCGTTTCTCCTTCGGCCGCCTCCCCCCCGCGCCCCCCGCTGCGCCTTTTCTTTTCTTTTTCTTTTCTTTTTATTTATTTTTACTATTTGGGCTTCGGGGCGCAGCCCGGGGCTTCTTCGGGGCAGCGCCCGGCCCGCCCAGGGGTGGGATGGAGCCAAACGCCTCTCCCGCGCAGTCTTCTCCTCTCTGCGCTGGCCCCGGCCGCCTTGGCCTCGTTTCTGCGGCTCAAAAGGTCTTTTCTTTCCATTTTCCGGCCTTTTTGCCTCGACTTTCTCTTGCCTCTGCCTCGGGGGGCCCCCTGCCGTCTTCCCGGCTTCTCAGCGGCCCCGACTTCGCCAAAAAACCCCAAAAAGCAGTTCAAAAAAAGAAACTGCCGAAGCTCTAGCGCCTGGCGGGGGGGCCGCAGCGCGCGCTTCAGGTGTACAGACAGCTCACGGCCCCCAGCGCCTCGCCCGCGGCTCCTTCTTCGCATCACTTCTTCTTTTCGGCAATTCCGAAAAGAATAAAAGGAAATAAAACCCACGGATGATGAAAATGAGTCCCACACCGCCCCCTCCCCCGGGTCTAGGCGGCCCCGCGGCCCCTGCTGCTGCTGCTGCTGCTGCCTTTCAGCCGCAGCAGCTGGCCTCCTTCGGGCCCGGCGACCTGGCCTCTGCCACGGCGCTGCTGCAGCAGTACCGCCTGGAGCTGCAGCAGCAGCAGCAGCTGCAGCAGCAGCAGCAGCAGCAGCAGGGAGGCGTCGCCTCCCCACTCAACCCACGCCCCTTCCAGCCATTTCCCAGAGAGGCCCCCGCAGAAGAAAACCCCCCAGAAGCAGCAGCACTTAAGGGCCCCGACTTGAAGCTGCAGCTGCTGCTCGAAAGTGCTGCTGCTGCAGTGGTTGGCGGACGCCTCGACCTTTCCCTTCTTTCCTTCAAACAGAGGCTTGCCCTCGTCAGTCTCCGCCCCTGCTGCTGCTGCTGCTGCTGCTGCTGCTGCTGCTGCTGTGGTAGCAGTCGTGCTGCTGCTGCTGCTGGTGTGGTAGTAGTCGTGCTGCTGCTGCTGCACTTGCTGCTGCTGCTGCTGCAGCTGGAGCTGTGTGCGTTGCTGCTGAGTCTGCTGCTGCGCGCAGGTGGACCTGGTGCACTACAAGCAGTGCCAGCTGCAGCAGCTGCTGCAGCACACGAACTTGCTGCTGCAGGAGCTGGAGAAGAGCCGCGAAGGCTACCTGGAGCTGCCGCGGCTGCTGCTGCTGTTCCCTGCAGCAAGAGCAGCAATGGCAAAAGCTGCTTCTCCCCACAACTTGCCCCGGCCAGTTTCGGGGGCCCATGCTGCTGCTCTGACTCCCCCGCTGCCGTGGCTGAGTCCTTTCGAGGTAAACCGAAGCAGCAGCAGCAGCAGCAGCAGCAGCAGCAGCAGCAGCAGCAGCAGCGCCGTTTGGGTTTTTGCCAACTCCCGAGCAGCAGCAGCAGCAGCAGCAGCTGCTGCTTGCACTACTAGCTGCGTGTGTGTGTTGCTGCTGCTGCGCAGTCCATAGCGGACGGGGCTGGCGGCGGGCACGGGGGCGGGGGCTCTTCGCGGGCAGCAGCAGCAGCAGCAGCAGCAGCAGCAGCAGCACGGGGCAGCCCCACAGCCACCTCGGAGTCGCTGCATGCAGCAGATCACGAAGCCGATCCTCCTGAAGAAGATCTTCTCGCTCAAGTTTCTCCAGCTTTCACCCGCAGCAACACGCGCTCCCGCACCACCCCTGCAGTCCGCGGCAGTCCCGAAACTTGGATGGAAGTGAGTGCTGCTGCTGCTGCTGCTGCTGCTGCTGCTGCTGCTGCTGGGCGGGGCGTAGCTTGCGAGGTGCATGCGCATGCATCCGTGCAAACATGCATGCATGCAGGTGTGCATGCATGCATGGAAGCACGTGTGCATGCATGCATGCATGCATGCACGCGCCATGCATGCATGCGTGCAGGCAGGTGTGCATGCATGCATGGAAGCGCGAGTGCATGCATGCATGCATGCATGCACGCTCCATGCATGCATGCATGCATGCATGCATGCATGCACGTGACATGCATGCATGCATGCACGCATGCATGGATGCATGCGCGTGCGGGTGGGGTTGTTGTTGCGGGGCGTGCAGAAGGTCTGCGGGGGCGAGCAGGAGGCGTACAGCAGTTTGACGGAAAGCGAGTTGTTCAAAAGGTGCTTCAGCGTGGGGTCTTCGCTGGCAGAGGCGACGGCCACGACTGCAGCAGACACGCCCGGGGGGGGGGCCGAGGAAAGGGCCAGAGAGCCCAGCGAAGGCAACGTTTCGGGGCTTTCTGGGGAGTTCGCGCTGCTGCAAACGCATGCGCAGCAGGGGGGGCCCCTGGGGGGGGAAGAGGCGGCGGAGGGGCCCCGGGGGGCCCCCGGGGCCCCCGAAGGCTCGCCGTTTCTGCAGCGAAACGTGCGGAGAACCACCACTTTGCCCAACGGGAGTTTGGCCGGCAAAGTGGTGCTGCTGGGGGCTGGCCGCGAGGCGGGGCTGCAGGCGCCGCCTGCTGCTGCTGCGCTGCAGGAGTTCGCTTCCCCGGCCAAGAGCGAGGCCTGGCCGCCGCCCGCTGCTGCTGCTGCTGCTGCTGCTGCTGCTGCTGCTGCTGCGGGCAGCAGGAGCAGCAGCGGCCGCTGCGTGCGGATCGACGCGAATGTGCTCGCCGCCGCCGCCTCCATCCGCCAACACGAATACACCAACCTCCTCGAGAGCAGCAGCAGCAGCATGACAGCTCTCCTCGGGGACTTGAAGCTCCTCCAGGAGGCCTCAGCAACAGTGCAGGCAGCAGCTGCCGCGAGAAGCATTCCCGGAGAAGACCCCAACGCCTTCTTCCAAAGAAACAACCGGCGAACCACCACTTTGCCCGGCACCATGGCGAACGTGAAAATCTGCGCAAGTCCGCGCCAAACAGCGCTTTTGCTTCCCTTTTTAGTGCTTTACTTTTCTTTAAAAAACAAGAAATAAATACTTCTTTTTTTCTTCAAGTCCAGCGCTAAATCTGCCGCTTTCTTGCCTGTTTTGCCTGCGAATCGCAGCCGATGTGCAACGGGTACTGCACACGCGCGGCCGCTGCAAGCCGTGCGCGTTTTACTACAACAAGCGAAAGGGGTGCCGCAACGGCGCAGAATGTGAATTCTGTCATCACGAAGAACATTCGAAACTAACTTTAAAGCAGTGGAAGAAGCACCAGCAGCGCGCCCACAGAACGGTGAGCCGCGCTCCTGCAACATGAAGAACATGGAGAGCTGATCTTGTATGAAAAATGCACTTCTAGCTACTTTAAGTAGTTTAAATTATTTCGGAAATTCGGGCCAAGTGCTGCGTTTTGGCTTCTGCAGAGGCTGCTGGAAGACTGTGAAGGCGCAGAGGCCAGCGCCGTGGACTTTCAAGCGCCGGGAGTTTTGCTGGAATCCGCCGACGGCGCAGCCATTCCTGCATTCGCCTCTGCCCATGTAGCAGCAGCTTCTGATGTACAGCACCCCATAATTCCCCGCCAATATGCGTTGAACACAGCAGGACTAATGCCAGAGTCCCTAGCGCATGTGCGAGATAAACTCGCAGGTGAGCGCTGGCCTTGAGTGTGAACCCGCGCTGGCTAGATCTGCAGCTTTGCTGCAGAAGATGCAGTTGCTGCATGTTTGAGTCTCAATTCCAGAACGTTGTGTGTGCACATGTAGCGTATAAGTGCTTTTCTCGCGGGTTCGCTGAAAAACTTGACTGGTTTGGTGTGCTTTCCTTTCAGAACTCACTAACACGAACGAGGTGACGCTGCCTGAGGGCAGCTGAGCCTCCACTACAGAGTGCAGTCTGGCTCCGCCAGCTCGCGAATCCGAAAAGCAAAGTTTTCGCCAGGAGAAAATGTGTGCGGGGGCGCCGCCGGTCGGCACCAGAGGCCTGGAGCGCCGAGTGCTCCCCTGAGTTCTGCAGTGCGCTGTTGGAGTGTTAAATGGCGGCGAGAGGAGGCCTCGAGGCCTCTTGTGCTGAAAAGGGAAAGATGAACAAGTGATGCGTTTGTCATCGCGAGAAGCAGCGAGAAGAAACGCGCCCGTAGTGGAGTCGGTTGACTGCGCGTCACAACTCGGGCAACGCGGCTGGGCCAAGACGTAGGAGGCGTCCTTGAGCAGTCACTGGCCGGAATATCACCACGCTCAGAAAGCCATTGAGCCAAGGCGGTTTGTGTGCTGCAGTTGTTGCTTTCCAGTGCAAAGTTTGCGCCAAAAGACTGGCATACGGCCACACTTTGTTGCGGATTTCACATCTAGGAGCATTGAATTCCACTGAGTTCCATTTCCCCCTCGGAACGGTGTGCACCATCACCAAGTGCTTCTTCGTTGACCCCCAGACAGGAGCTCTACGGCTCGGTCAGTCGTCAGCCAGGCAGCTTTTATGTCTGCTGGTATGCACGGACTTATGTGAAATCGGTGAAGAACACCGGTATCAAATAGGCTCTATTTGTCTATGCGTTTGACATCGGAAAGCTTTCGCGCCCGTCGTGGATAGCCGCGGCGGGCGTTCAGAAAGCAGCGTGAGTGCTCTTGTTCCTGTTTGATCCTTATTCTATTTGCGTCGAGCACTCGCAGTGGCAGCCTTCTCGGTGAGGCGGAGCCATTGTGAAGAAAGGCAGCCGGCTGTAAGGATTGCGCTCCGAGCAACCTAGCTAGGCTGTGCATGAGAACTAGCAACACCCGTAGTGTTAGAATGAAGCTAACGCGAAGTGGGCGTGCCACAATTGATGGGCACATCGAGCGTGGCGTTTCGTTTCATTTTGGCGTGTACCCTCAAATGTGTCGCAGCTTAGAGTCGTGGAGGAACGCTACGAGTGGACGCCATGGACTTGCCGGCGGCTCAGGCAGAAGCTTGCCAAATGTTTAGTCATTGAGTTCAGTGGTTTGCCGACGAAAACGCGATTTAAAATTCAGATTCTCGAGTTGCCAGGCCTACTTCGCGCCGACTTGGTGAAATTTTTGAATTGTTATGTTGGGGAGGGTGGGGTAGTGTGGCCGGAGTTGCGAGCCTGAACGGCTAGGTTTTGGGGTCATCTTGCTAGCAGAAATGCCGAAAAGTATAACTCTCTGCCAGTATTGTGCCGCGCTTCCCTCATTTTCATTGAGAAGCTGTTGTGCCCCCGTGCATGCTGAGCAGTTGTGGCGCTGCGGGCACTACTAAGCCTACTCGGGGTGCATTGTTGTTGCCCAAGTCACTTCGAAGCTTCTCAGTGTCAGTTCTAGCGAAAAGAGTATAAGTTTCATAGCATGATTAAAGATTACGGGACAGTCTTGCGACATACGACTTCCCGGTGCTTCCTGCCGGGGCCCGTGAGGGCGATACTGTTGTTTCGGAGTGATCATTCATCCTTCTGAACATACAGATAGCGCAGATCTTTGGAAATGTGTTGCTAAATTGCAAACTTTTGCATTATTCCGAGGATCTATGCGGAAGTGAGCACAAAAGGAACCCCCACAGTGTGGGGCTGGAGAGCGGCATCGGCTCGAACTACTTCGACTAATTTCGTCTATTGTTTTAGACAGTGTCTTTTAAATCTTTGCAGTTAAGTAAAAGCGCTGATAATTCTTTATTTTTTTAGGGCGGGGCTGGCCTGCAGAACCTTCTTCTCTGTATCATTTGCCGCGGGCGCCAAAGCTTTCGGCCGTTGTTGCCTTTTCTGTGTTCATCTCATTCTGCCGATGCCAGCAGTTTATTAATTGAATAGAAGACATATTTTTGGCTTTTTCTGTCACGAATTGGCTTCGGGTCATCAGCAAGAGGCGCAGCAGGCGAGCAGCGGATTTGCAAGTTTCGATTTGCACAGTCACCCACCCATAACCAAGATGGAAGCTGAACTCGACTTGCGCGTTGTCGCTGCAGTTCTCAAGTTCCTGGAGCAGCAGGAGCTGGCGAAGACAGCAAAGGCTCTTCGGAAGGAGGCAAGCAAGCGGGTAAGACTGGCTGAGTTTCCTTTGCTGCTGTTTCCTTTGCAGTACTTAGCAGCAAAGGGTTTTTGACCACTCAGCCACAGGCACAAGCATTATTACTTATATAATAGTAAAATAGGAGTTAAGGGGTTTAAATCTTGAAATTTTAATTAAAACTCTGGGGTTTTGAGTGGCCAGTTGCCGCCATTCCACAGCTTTGCTGCGCCGCAGGAGTGGGACTTGGAAGCTGCAGCAGCAGAAGGGCAGCAGTTTGATTTGCTGCAGCTCTGCAGCGCAGCAGCGCGGGCGAGCGAGGAGGCTGAAGGTGACTTAGGGGAGAAGTTTGGAGAGTTTTTGAGTTTATGAGGAGCCAAATGCAGGAAATTAAAGGCATTTAAGAGCAACTCAGGAGTTGAATGGATTTGCAAGTGGACTCTGTGGCTTTGGTGCGCAGAAGCTGTTGAAAAGGCAAGCAAAAAGTCAAAAAAGAAGAAAATAAATGATGAAGAATCGACTAAGTCCAATAAGAAGGCCAGGGCCATTGCTGAAAAGGAAAACCCAGAGGCAGAGGCCACGCAAGAGGCCCCCGAGACAGACTCCAGCTGCAGCAAACAAAACGGAAAAACTTCATCGGAAAAAAAAGCCAAGTCCGAAGAAGAAAGTGCTGCTAAAGAAGAGCCCCAAGACAGTCAGAAAGGCAGCAAAGGCGCAGCAGGTGCGGCAGGCAGCTGCAGCAGCAGCAGCAGCAGCAGCAGCAGCAGCAAACTGGAGTGCTGGAGGCTGGATTTTCTCTTTTTTTGTTTTTTTTTTGAAGTTTGGAAAAGACAAATTGCTGCGCATTGTGTGCTGCAGGCTTCAAGCGCTTCCAACGCATAGACGACACCCGGTGGACTGCAGCGCTGCCTGCAGAACTCAAAGACAATTCTTTTTGGAAGAAAAAAAATGACAGTTTTGCGGCGAAGGCGGCGGAGCAGCTGGGGCGGGTGAGAGGGGCAAAAGGGGTTTATTGGGTGCTTTTTTGCCCAATAACTGGCCTTTGCGTAGATATTTCAAATTCAATTTTTGGCCAAATATTCCCAAATTCAAGTTAAATTCTACTTTTGCAGATATGTGATTTGTCTGCGCTTTTAAATTCAACTTTTGGCCGGATATTCCCAAATTCAGGTTAAATTCAACTTTTCAAAAATGTGATTTGTCTGTGCTTTTAAATTTAACTTTTGGCCAAATATTCCCAAATTCAGGTCAAGTTCAACTTTTGCAAAAATGTGATTTGTCTGTGCTTTTAAATTTAACATTTGGCCAAATATTCCCTAATTCAAGTTAAATTCAACTTTTCAAAAATGTGATTCGTCTGTGCTTTTAAATTTAACTTTTGGCCAAATATTCCCAAGTTGAAGTCAAGTTCAACTTTTGCAAAAATGTGAATTGCCTCTGCGCTGCAGGTCCGAGGCAAAGACTTTCGCCACGAAAAGACCAAAAAGAAAAGAGCCACGTGGAAGGGATGCGGAGAACTGCCCATGACAGTTAATTCAATTCAATTTGCCAGCGATTCGGAGTAAGTTCAAATTTCCGAGTTCGCGGTGTACGTACACCCGGATGTACAGCGCGGCGTTCCGGTGTACGTACACCCGGATGCACAGCGCGGCGTTCGGGTGTACGTACACCGGAACGCTGCGCTGTCCCCGCCGACCCGTGCAGTTCCCTTTTAAAGACTCAGGCGTGTCCTTGGCCACATGTTTCTTCCTTGACAATTTAGTTTTGAAACAATAAAAATAAAACTACTTCTCAACAAACCACTTATGGGGAGCCTCTTGCTGGAGCAGTTAGCCCATTAGGGGCATTTGGCTCTTTTCAATTAACAAGTAATGCCCCAGGGCTTCTTAGCTATATATAGTTAGCGGGCCATTTTGGGCCTGGGGCATTTTAAGGGGCCCCGTGGGCAACTAAGATTAGCCTCAGGCAGTTTCTCCACGGCAAATGTGCGGGCCTGCGGCTGGCCCCCGTGTGGTCCATTGGTGCAGTGGCCAGTGACCACTGGGCCTGGCTGGCTGGCAGCTGCAGCTGCGGGCGTTAAGTTAAGAGTTGGGTCTTTGCAGTGGGCTGCGGGGGCCCTGCCGCCGCCTCTGGGGGCCCGCTCTCGCAGACAGCCGCTGCAAGTGGAGAATCTCGGTGTTGGGCAAATATTGAATAAGCAAAAAAGCCAAAAGTTCGCAGAAGAATGCGTCGGCAGCGGGAATTGAGCTGCTGCTGCTGCTGCTGCTGCTGCGCACTGACCACTGCCATGGGACTGAGTGTTGTTGGGGCTTGAAAGGCCGCGCGAGCGGCGCCGCTGGCGCCGCCAGGGAAGCTGCAATTAATAAAAAATGAAAAAGTGGTGGAGGCGATTTCGCGGGGAGTGAAAAGATGCGGCCTCAGTTTCTGCTGCGCCCTGCGGCTGCGGCGGCGCGCGCGCTGCGGGAGGCCTTGCAGGCGCCTTGCGTGTCGGGGGCCCCCGCGCGGCCTTTGGGTCTTCTGGGGCCTCCAAAATGTTGCAATTATTATTCTTCTTCAGTTTTTGTGGCTTCTGGAGAAGCGGGGGCCTCCGGGGGCCTCCGGGAGTGGGAGAAGCCGCTGGTTGCTGAGGTGTACAGACAGCTGCGCGGCCAGCCCGTCGCCCACGCCCACGCCGCCGCAGCAGCAGCAGCTGCTGCTGCTGCTGCAGGCGCCCCAGGGGCCCCAATTCGAAGCAACGGGGGCCCCTCTTCTTTTCCAGGTTGGGAATATTCCGCAGAAGACGAAAGGGGCCTCCGCTTCGGCTCCGCCTACATGCTCTTGACCCTCGCGTGGAACAGAAAATTCGCCAGACTCCGCGAGCTCCTCGTCAACGCCAACAGAGCCAGAGAGGGCGCCAAGCAGGTCCTCTCTCGCGTCCTTTCTGTCGTGAGTTCGCGCGGCCCTGCTGCAGCCCTCGACTCCCAGCCACTGTGCTGCTGCTGCTGCTGCTGCTGCTGCTGCTGCGCTGCTGTCCTGCTGCTGCGCCGGCCGCGGGCGCCCTGCACTGCTGCTGCTGCGCTGCTCTGCTGCTGCTGCTCCGTTCGCTGGAGTCCTGCACTGCTGCTGCTGCTGCGCTGCTGCTGCGTTGGCCACGGGAGTCCTGCACTGCTGCTGCTGCTGCTGCGCCGGCCGCGGGAGTCCTGCACTGCTGCTGCTGCTGCTGCTGCTGGAGTTGTGTGCAGATTTCGTCGGACTTGTCCAACGCAGAAAGACTCCAGCCCGCCGCCGACGCTGCGCCCGGCGAGAACTGCAGCAACTTAGGGAAAGATGGCTCCTCTGAGAAGCCCAAGAGCAGCAGCAGCAGCAGCAGCAGCTCGAGCTGCTGCCAGCTGCACTCCGACAGCTTCCTCTCGGGGCTGCACGGCTGCCTAGGCGGCCAGCTGCAGCAGCTGCTGCAGCAGCAAGTGGCTTTCCTCGCCCACAGGGGCCTCACAGTCCGCTCTGCCATTCGCCCCCAGCGGGTGGTCGTGGACTCCGTTTATGGCATAGTGGGTGAGGCGAGGAAAAGGGAAATTGAGAAACAATTCAGAAAAAAAGGCATTTTGAAGGAGCTTCCAGGTGCTGCTGCAGCAGCACTGCAGCAGCACTGCAGCAGCACTGCAGCAGCGCTGCAGCAGCGCTGCAGCAGCAGCGCAGCAGTCTCCAGGGGGCTTTTGCTGCAGATTGCATGCGCGTGCGTCTCAGGCTGCAACAGAGGCTCCAGCGCGACTTCCACGGTGCTGCTGCAGCACGGGTCTGTGCAGGTGCTGCTGCGCCGCGGCAGCAACGCCAGCAGCAGCAGCAGCAGCATGGGAACTCCTGCAACGATGTACATGGCGAAGCCGCGAGTCTTCGACTTCGAGGCTGCAGTGGCTGCAGCAGAAGCTGCGGGGGAGCTGCCGCTTCCGCAGAAGCCGGGGAAGCAGCCCGAGGCGTCGGAAAAAGAAAAAAGAAGTGAAAGTGAAGACCCCGCGGAGGAAGCTGACGCCGCGCCAGGTGTCGAGACACTCGGAGTTCTCGAAAAGAGGCAGCAGGTCATGGCCATGGAACAGATCTGGAGAAAACGCGCCAGAGAACAAATGCAAGACATCTTGAGGCAGCCACTAACCTTCCGACGTGAGCCCCAAACTTTGCTGCTGGCCTACTGACATTCTGCTGCACTCATTTTTGCCTTTTTTGCCCCGGACTTGGAGAAAATTTCGCAAAATTCTGCTTTGACTGTGTCACATTTGCTGCTGCGAAGTGTTGAAGGTGATCTCGCGAACGGGGTTTGCGATCTGCATCTTTTTTGCTGCAGATCTATCACTTTCTGCCCTGTTTGTGTTTATTATTTGTTTATTTTTGAATTAATTTTGCTTTTTTCTTGCCTTTATTTCCAGAGTTCATGAACATGTGCGCGGACTGCGGCGGCGTCCTTGACCGAGGCTTCGTCGTCGTGATGGATTTCAAGTTGCTGTGCGCCCAGCAACTTGCCATTCTAGACTCTGAAGACAATGTGCGTTTTTTTGTTTTTTCAAAATCTCATTATTTGCCTCAAGTCTGTCTTTCTGTCTTCTCTTGTTTCTTTCGCCATTGAATTGTGGCTTAGAGGCCGCTGGGGTGCTGCGGGGTGACGAATCTGCAGATTGTTTTGGGCTCTGAGGAAGATGAAACAGCTGTTCACACTTTGAGACTTGAACTCAACGCCAGATTTGACCCTCATAATTCGTAAGGCACAAACACGCAGTCCCCGCAAAGCCCATACAACTAACTGGCTGGGAATGTCACTAGCTAATTGCACAGTTCAGCAGCTAAATTCGCGTCTCATTTCTACATTCCAGCAACTAAATTTGCGTAATTGGCTTTTGTTATGCTGCGTTGGCCCCCTGTGGGAGCTGGGAGTTGCTGTGGTGTGTCTCATTAGTTTTATTGGGAAATGTCTGGTGTCTGCGCTTCGCAATCAGGAACTTCTTGTTCCCTGCATTTGAGCCAACTGGCTGGCATTTGGTAGACTGGAACTACGCCGTAGGGCCTCAGTACCCTGTAGATCCTCGCGAAATATCTAATGTCGTCTTTAGTAAGCTTCGAACGCAGCTGCTGTTTCACTGTTGCCTCCAGTCCGCTCTTCGCTTTCTCTCATGGCAACCCACTTGCAGGATTTGTCTTTCTTGCTCACGAAAGGCAGCAACTAAGTGAACTTTCTGCTCAGGACCACCTACTTGCGTTTCACGCCATTGCTGTTTTTTGCACTTGTTGTCTGATTGACTTGCCTTGCGAAAGGCAGCTTTTTGAAGACTTGTCGATAATTTGCGACTCTCTTCTGGTGCGCTTCGCCTGCGTTTGTGTCTGCAGTGGACGATGAGAAGTCGGTACCCAGCAGCGCAGTTGCGTGCTTTATATGAAGGGCCGCGCATTCGGCTCCGTAAAAGGGATCCGGCAGCTCACAGCATTTTTTTGCTAGTGTTTTAGACATATTGAACAATGCTTTCCCCGGTGATTTGTAAGAAGGGTTGAAACCGCGTCTTTGCCGCTGGCTGTTTGCCTTCGGCGCCGCAGCTGTTGTTGCAGTCCCGTGGCCCGAATTATTCCAGTGGTCATTAAGACAATAGTGAGGAAGACGAATTTTATCCTTATGTATGCGAATTCCATATTCCTATGTTATTGCATTCCTCCTAAGTGGATGGAGGCCACTCTTTACCACTCATTTACGCCTACTTCAACTAACTGGTAGAAATCTTTTTTGTTTCGTGCGTCGGGAACGTCGGAAGGCTTGGCGGCTGCTGCCGACTGCACATTTAAGCAGCATGAGCATTAATGGCATGAATTGAAGCGGGTCAGACCTTCTTCACGATTATCTGATCGCAACGAATTCGGCGAGCTGCCACTGTCACTAGTTTCTCGCTCATCGTAGCAGAGGTCACCGTCGCGCTTCGGCTGCCTAGCTGAGGCCGCAACTCCCTCGTGCAGTATTTTGTGATCTGTTTTGAAGTGTCTTAAGCTGCCTTGGACTCGTGTGCAAGGAATGAATGTAACTGGGAGAAGTCACCTCGAGCGCTGATTCCCGAGGCGGGCGGCCTGTGGGGCGCTTCGCTCAAGAGGGATGCATGGGAAGGAAAACTTTACTAGTAGAGTAAAAGCTATATGAAAAGAAGATCTTAGATCGTTGTTCTGATCTTCCGTTCACTACAACTGCTACCACCTAGTGGCATCACCGATACAGGACGGCAGTTCAAGAACGGCTGCCAGTGAGGCTACTGGGGACTTGGTAGCGTGGGAGCCGTTCTTTAATTGCAGGCATGCAGATCGTTCACATTGCGTTATTTCCTCCTCAGTAGAGGCTTTTGCGTGATGAGTTTTCATAGTTGTCGTTCAAGTACTTTTCCGCCTCCCTCACAACACGTTGGCTGTGCGGAACTCTCGGCCAACAGTGTTCGAGTCCGGGTGTCCGGGCCTTGCTGATAGAGATCTCTTGGCGCAGTTACTAATTTGTTACTATTTTTGGCATTTTTGGAGGCGTTAAGGCTTGAATCTCGCGCTTTTTTATCCGGGACAGGGCGCCGTGGTCTTTAGCGCTTCCGCTGGAGCTGCCGCCCGAGATTGCGTCTCTTTGCTGGGAAAAGAAACCCAAGAGGAAAATGGAGAGCCGCATTTCGAACCTCACGGTGGCTGTAGACTCCGGAGATTTCCGCCAGGCGATTCGCACGGCGAATCAGATGCTACTCTGGTCTCAGAAGCAGCTGCACTGTGACCCTGAGGAGCAGCTGCACTACGACCTCTTGGTGAAGAGCATCAAGGTCATTATCCTCACGAGGCAAGGTCGGGCGCTGCTGCTGCTGCTGCTGCTGCTGCTGCTGCCTCCGTGCTGCTGCTGCTCTAGGCCCAATGGCGGGCAGGCTTTTCTGAGCCTCAGGGCTGTCCACCGCACGCACCGGCCGGCACATTTCCGCATGAAGACCTTCGTTGAATCAGTTTAAATCTTCTTTGGCATTTTTGAAGTCTTGTTTCCTCTATTCACAATGACGGAATGCCTGTGAGGGGCCTTTTGAGTCCGTAACTGTCGCCGCATTGAACAACTGGACAACAGCACTACAGCTGCAGCGAGGTGGCAGCTGACTGCGCATCTGCTGCGCCTTAGGAAAGACTGGAGAGGCCCTCGACCTGTTGCGGCAGTTGCCGCGGGATGATCCCGAGTTGAACGAGTTTCTCTGCATTGCACACAAGGAGCTTCGAAACACAAGTGAGGCCTGTCGGCTGCAGTCCGTGCTGCACCAAGTGCCCAACAGGGCCTACCCACTGCTTTCCACTGTTTGCAATGGCTTTTAATGTCATTTTTGCTGCAATCAGCTCGGCTTTCTCCCTGCCGCACGGCGGCGCTGCCAAACTTGACACTGGCGGAGGCTCGGGAGGAGGCGCAGCTGCTGGAAATGTGCAGCAGCCTCGAGATTGACTGTAACGTCTTTCAGGCGAGCCCCCACACCGATTCGCTAGGAGGGTTTAGGGTTTGGGGTATATGGGGGCCAGTGCGTACATTGGTGCCAAACAAACTGAAGCATTTGTATCCCTTGTTTCAATTTGCTCGCGTTTGCCTTCAAATCCTTCGCGCTTTCATCCCCTAAGGCGGGACAGGAAGCAGGAGGACCTGAGCTGGGGCCCTTCTTATCCACGAGAGGTACTTGTCTTTGAATTGTTTGCTGAAATTGTTTGTGCTTTCGGCTGCCGCAGCACGCGCTGCGGTTATACAAGTCCTACCGGCGGCCGCGCTATCTTCTCTGGGCAATAGTTTGGGCGTTGATGCCTGTGGGTCAATTCCTGCGGTCTTCAATATGCTGCTGGTTGTGGCTGTCTGGCAAATAGCCCCGTTTTTACATGTGCGCGAAGAAAGCTGGAGTATAGGCAACAAAGTCAGCCAGCTGCTGCTATCTGTCTTTACAGTCTCGACACCCGAGTGCCCACAGACAGCTGCAGCTCGCCCAGCTGCTGCTGCAGCAGTTACCGCCGCCGGACCCTCCCAAAGTGAGCCCTCAGACGATGCAGGACCCCAAGGTGAATACACAGTTGAAGGATTCAAACGCAGGTGCGAATTCCCGGCAGCAGCTGCCAACAGCAGTTCAGTCTTCTTGTTGCATTTCAGATGCAGAGGCCCCCTTTGGCAATGCGTAGATCCTAAAACCCTAGATAGGAACCTTGCCGTTTTGTGTGATGTTTGGCGCAGCTCTGATTGTCCATATATCCGTCTTGCGGCAATGCAACCGAGCTGACGAGGCGCTTGGTAAGCTGTGCAGATAAAATGTGTGCTAAATCGTGCAGAGATTTGGGCTTGGCACGTAAAGGGAAGAGGCAGAGTAGTATTGAAGAGTCTTTTATCTAGCTGCGCTTTCCAACAACGCTACCTTTAAATTCTCTTTCAAGAACGGATTCCTCGAAAGTTTATTTGGATCAGTGTTGTGGCTCACTTTGCAAATGGAAGTGTGTGGCGTCTTCATATGCTGTATGATGCGTATAGACGCGCGCTTGTTTGTTGAAATGTTTGTTGAGTACAGAGCTTCTGAAAAAGTATTCCAATTGCTGCATCCTGCCTGGCGAATTGCAGGCCATGAAGATTCAGCTGCTCACTGAGGTAACCTCGGCTGCTGCTGCTACGGCTGCTGCTTCTGCGGCTTTTCTCGCTTCTGCTGTTGCTACCGGCACTGTTGAGATGTCGCTGTAGCTGGAACTGCTGTTCCTATTGTTACTGTGGTTGGTCCTGCGAGTGCTGCGGCTGCAACTGCATTTGCTGTGGGCATGCTTTGTCTTTTGGTGTGAAGAGTGGCAAACTGAAGGATGCTCTTAGTGAGGCTGCCAACGCCGTAGACAGACCGTGAGCCCCCTCTGCAGATTCTCAAGGGATCCCATAATGTGTTCAATTCAAAGTCATTTGCTCTTTTTTCCATGTGAAGCAATTACTGAGCAAGTGATCCTCAGGTGGAACGGCTGCGTTTTCAGGGAAATTTCCAGCGAGTTCATTGGCGCCTTCATCCGCCTTGCTGCAGCCAACGGCAAGGAAGCGACAGAAAAGGCCTTAAAGAAGCTGAGATCTTTCAACAGGTTCGTCTGCCTGCTTCTCTGCTTGCGTCCGTGCATGCATGCATGCGTGCCAACAGCACGACAATAGCAGTAACAACAGATCGTGCAGTGTTTCGTGCTTCCCAAAAGCCCTTGCCTAGGCGTGACACCGTACGTGCACTGTTCCTGCAGCTTTCAAGGAGCCACTGCCGCTTTGGATCTTTTAGTGCAAAGAGGGCTCGAAATTTTGCAAGGGCACGACCGGTTGCTATCAGGTGCGTCGAAGGACCCTTCAAATCATAGATGCGACCTCAAGACTGTTTACATTTAAGCCTTCTGCTCCCTTGTACAAATATGTTCTTGCTGGCTTGCTGTCGCCTTTGCAGAACGCGGGCTTGAGGCCTTGTGGATGGCAGTGGAGTGCCACGGCGATCCTGTAGAAGAGCTTCACAAGTCAGTTAATGATTAAAGCTGTGGAGATTTGGGCAGGCTTTTGCGGGCTTGGAGTGCTGCACTCGCTGGATGCCGTTGTTACTTTTTACTTTCGCACTGAGACAGCCCTAGCCATTTGAAACGCCGAAAGATATGCTGCTGCTGCTCAACACTTCGCATCTGATGCAGTGCGGCACTTGTGTCTTGTTTGAGCACATCTCTGAATCTCTGTTCTCCCGTGTACCTGCCGCATTTTCGTATGTGCGCCGTGAATAAGATAGTCCCTTCATATACTTGCTTGCTTGTCTTTCAAAGCATCAGTGTGTCTTATTGTGTCCCATTTTTGTCTGCGAACTACGCCTGCAGCTTCTTTAAAAATTACTCTAGCCATTTCTGCGCTTTCCGCTTCTTCCGGGCTTATGCGAGCCGCTTGGTAAAGTTACTTTGCTGTTCTGACGACACGAAACCAGGACTTTCTTGGGCGGGCTCTTAGGATCCCCTTAATGCGGCCTTCCAACTGGGGGCGCCAGTCGTTCACCTGGGTCTGCTGTTTGCAACACTCGCTGCACTCTTGCTGCTGGTGCTTCATCTGCTGTTTGCGCCGCTTCTGTAGCTGCGTACCTCCGTGCTGTGCTGTGCAATGCGGGTCCATCAGACGGAACTCCAGCGCCTAAAGGCGCGAGATTTCCTGCTGCAGCTGCGGCCTGCGGCACTGGCAGCTGCTTCTAAGCCTGAGGCGGCGGCGGGGGACGTGCGGAGCTTGTTGACGATAGACAAGTCACTCTTAGGTCCGCATGAACAAGCATTTGGGTTTCTGAGTTTGTGAAGGTTCTGACAGTAGACTACAGTCTAAGCGAATGACTGGAGTCTAAGCGAATGACAGCGTCTCAGAAACCGCGCAACCTTTGGAGCTTTCATTCTTTCTCATTGTGCTTAGCCCCAAGCAGCATGACTTGCGACGCCACTTTGTGTCTTTACCCTAACACACTCCATGCCTGAGCCAAGGAGGCATGAAGGCCTTACTTGAGGGCACTTCTATAAGAGCATGGGAGACCCAGGGACTCACGTGGGGTGCCTCCACGCTTAATGTCATTGATTCTGGAGGCCAGAAGCTTGAGGAAGGAGATACAATGAGAAATGGAAACGGGTGGACGTGTTGGATGCACAGCATGCACGGCGTGAACTGATTGTGTCGCATGCGTTGTCTGGGGTTTCGGGTGCTTGCAGCACTCGGTGAATGGAGAGACATAACAGACAGCTCGGAGCAGCGGCTGCGGGAATGGCGACAGCTTTTTATGCAACATAGCGGGGTAAAAGATGAAAGTGGCGGAGAATAATTTCACGTTGTTCTTGCTGCTAATATTTCTGATGCCAGTGTAGACACTGCTAGTGTTACCTTCAAGAAGAAAATATAGTGTGGATCAGCTGCAGTTGGATGCCCTCCTTCTCCCTTTGTAGCGCCAATGCATATCTCTTCCTCTTAGTGCCTTGCGTTTTCTTGTTTGCCGGCATCGCTGTTGCATATGCTGGCTTCTTTCTCTGCTGCTTCTCTTTGTTGCTTCGGGGCACTGGCGTGGATCTCCACTGGTTGCGGGCAAAGCAGTGACGCATTGTTGCCGCACGGCTGTTGCTGCTTCTGCTTTTGTCTCTCTTTCAGCGCCAGAGAATAGATTCTTTGCTGGCAGAGCTCATTGGAGTTTCCGTCGAAGTCTTGCTGAGATGGGACAAATCAATGGTTGACGCGCAGGTAGACAACAGCAGCCAAGATGAGAGTAGTAGGTTATTGCTCGTGCTGCTGCGAAGCCTTTGCTGCAGTTGCTACGCATTAGCTGCCGTTGACGCACCAGTGGAAGCAGCTGGCGCACCAACTGGTTGTGCTGGCGGAGCTTTTTTGGGAAAATCATCAACAGAGGCCTACAGGAAAACTGTTTACCCTGAAGTGCTGCTGTGGCTGCAATTTGCTGTGTGTGTTTAGCTTGGGTGCGGCGTCGGTTCTTATTTGAAGCCCTCTCATACGTAGACGCGGTAAGAAGATCGCCGCAGTGGCTGCTACTTTTGCTGCTGCCGCTGTGTTCTGTTTTGGATGCTGTCGCTAGTGCTGAAGCGTTCGGCGCTGCTTGCGGCCTACGTGAAAGAGAACAGCTTTGCGTAAGAACGAGTCCACGTGCTATTCGTTGAGGTCTAAAGAAGGACACTTGTGCTGCTGCTGATCTTTTCACTCCATTTCCTGCTGCAGGGCCTGAGTATGGAAGAGCTGCGCACGTCCCCGCTGCTACATCAAACTCGGGTAGCTTTGTCTTATGTCATTGGGGATCTCTACTCCATTCATGCCTCCTTTGCTGCAATGGATGTAAAGGAGTCGCTGCTGCTTTCCCTTGGCCTGTACCTCACGTGCACTCATTTCGACTATGGCTGCCTGTAGGTCTTGAGGTCCCTGCCACCGCTAAGAGCTGTGGTATTCGCATAGACCAAATGGTTATGTTTAACAGCCAACAGCATTAGTGACTGAGCTACTGAAGATGCTTGCAGTATGTAGGGAGCTGATGCCAATGGTGAAATAATTGCACTGGCTTTGTCTTATCGCTCTCAAATACGTTAGGGGAAATGTTTTCTTGCTAAGTACTCAAAAGCAGCAGCAGCACCCTTGGCGGTAGCGGAAGCAGCAAACGCAGCAGCCGTGCAGGAACAAGCACAAGAGCCCCTCCAGCACCTCTTAAGCCTCTTGTGAGACTCATGAAAGAGGGTCTCCTCTGTTTGTTGCTGTGGCCATCAACAATGCCGCAGAGCACACATGAGCAAAATGTGCAAACTATGGAAAGAAACGCAGGAAGAAATGTCAAACACAGTGAGACCAGGAGTCGTTCCTGCAGCGCTTGTGCCTTTCAACAGCTCCCTCCATATATAGCGTGTTTGTAATGTGTAGTGCTCGTTTGATGTATTCTGTTTCGTGTGAGCATCACTTTTTCTGCCCTTTTAACCCTACGTGTCTCTTCCGGTTTTTTTACGTGTTTTGTCCTAATGATGTCAATCACCTTTTGCCTTTCTTATCACTTCCCGTCACAGTTTTTCTTGCTAGAGCTTTCCGACTTTTTCGGTTGCGTCTACCCTGTGTTTTCCGGTGGCCATTGCTTTTCATATGCTTTTACACTGGAGTCGCTGCTGTGGCCTTTATGCGTGCTTTAACTGTCAGTATGCGGATTATATATCTGCTACAATTGAAGAGGGGAGCTTCTCATGGATCCCGGAGTTTCGCTTGTGGGGTCTCATCACTGAGCATTCCCTAGAAGGCACACTGTCATCGCTACAGGTAACAAGAACTGCATGCTTCCACACGCACTTTGAATTTGCGTATATGGATGCATACACTTGGGGCCTGAATTGAGGTGTCGCCAGCGCTGTTTTATTTGCTATCTGTAGCGAATCAGTAGCAGGCAAATTGTTATCGTTTTGGGCTTCCGTTGTGTGCATCTATTTCTTGCGGTATCTCATCTGCAGAGCGTCTTTTCGTTACTGTCGCACTCTGTGTTTGCGTCGCTGATAATTTAAGTATCCATAGCAGCTCGTGTGTCCTCGAGTGCGTGTAATTGCATATATTGGTTCCTATTCGTGGATCTATTTATCTTCGTCTACATCTGTGTGCTGGCAAATTTTTCTCTGTCTGTAGCCCCCTCTGTCTTTTTTGCCTCCAGGAAGCGTTTTTTCATATGTACGAGCAAAGTGAAGTCATACTTTTCTGGAATCTTTCGAGTTCTCTTCACTCGCAGCCGCTTGCTCCGTTGCTGCAGTCAGGGTGTTTGCGCGCTGCTGCGCTTTGCCGGGGCCCGGTGGAGTGGTGGCTCACGGCGGCTGGCCTCAGCCATGCAGATAGAGGGCTGCAAGGTGGTCTCCTTAAAAAGGCCCCAGCGGGCGTTTCTTTTGGTGCCCTGGCACCCCTTACCTGCTCAGACTTGGGGCTAACCTCTGTCAGTCTAGTGACACACGAGGAAGCCTATGCGCGAGAGCTTGCGCACCCCATTCGCAGAGCCCTGCAACTTCACAAGTCCAGGCAGGCCCTCAAGGCCCAGTTACAACGGAAAGACGGGGCTACCAGTTCCCCAAAAGACACTTCAAGTCCCACACTTCAAGAAGGCGCCCCACAAGAATCTTCAAGCCCCGCTGCACCAGCGGAGCCCACGCAAGATGCACTAATGAGTGCCGCATTCAACGAAGAAGAAAGAGCTCTGTTTGCGGTGTGGCTGTCAGGACTGTGAGCTACTGCGTCATCCTGCACGGTAGTATTTCATGTTGTGCTGTTGTCTAATCTGCCGCGTTGTGTTGAGTTGCCTTGAGCTAAGCTCCTTTTGCCTGATATTCTGCTCAGCTTCTGTGTTTGCTGGGATTTTTTTTCGTGGAATTTTGTTGCTTGATGCTTCGCCTTGTTGGGTTCACGCCTTTTTGAAGGGGGCTACGCCTATGCATATAGCATTTTACGTTGTGCGGCTGTAGGCGCCTCGTTTACTATCACACTGTGGCCCTTATACCTTTTTTGCCATCCTCTCTCTTCGTTTTGCTGTGTGACAACCGTGTCTCAATCTATATATGTCCATTGCCTGTTATTGTTCTTTGCGTCTGTATGGTTCCTGTTTCGCTGCCCCGTGCATGGTCATTGCCCGCAGCTGTGTGTTGCTTCCCACTGCCCACAGGGGTGTGCTTAAGGGTGTGACTGTGTTCATTGTCACATATCGAGAAAAGTCACAACTTCACATTCAATTTCCTTATTAACCCCTTCTCTGATCAGTGGCCACTTTGTTTGCCGCCCGTCCGAAAGGTAGACGTTGCGCGCTGTGGATTCGTGTTCATGTTGTCGAATCGGACTTTGAACGCGTTATTATCCAGCCTGTCTTCCTCTGTAGAATTCAGGCAGCGCCTCTTGTTTCATCTGTCTTCGAACTCATGGGAACTGTTTTAAACTGCGCAGGCATCCAAAGATCTGGCGCAGTGCGTGGCCAAGCCGCTTGTTGGGTGCTGAGGCCAGCCACGCCCTGTCCCGCCACGAATTCGTCTCAGGGCCTCCTAGCCCAGAGTCCCCCCTGCCCACAGGGGCCGTGGAAGAGGCCTCTGCTTCTTGGGAAGCCAGTGGCTCGTTGTACAGACCCGGACTGAGTCAAGCGGAGGTCAATGTGCTTCAGTCCGTCGCGGGCGTTGTGAGAGCTCTTCCAAAGGAGGTCCCAAGATGCCCCGAAGCCCCTGAGGCTGGGAACAGCCTCAGGATGACCAACGGTGTTGCGCCCGTGTCGCGTGCTGCTGAAGCTTCCGTCACATCTGCAGAAAGTAGCAATAACCCGCAAGCTATCTGCTGCTTCTCCCGGACCTGCGCTGCCTGTCGGCCAGCCAACGCAACGGCAGCGTCTGCTTGCGGAACAGACGCGCAAAGCATGGAGGCAGACGGCGTCCTTGGAGGGACTGAGGGAGCTCTGAAAGAAGCTGTCGGCTCCCTTATTCGCTCAATCCCAGGAAGGACGAGGTAACGGCGGCCTTAACCATGCACCCCTAAAGGCGCTGTGACCCTGCTACGTTTACATCCCAGCTCCTCTAAGCTCTTCTTTGGCGATTACCAGTGTAACTAAAAAATCTATGCAGAAGGCCGGTGCAGAGGATTTCAGGGAGCGGCTTGTGCTGATGGCGCTGCAGACGCCTTCGCCTGATATTGACGGTGATGCAGCCGTCCGCTGAGTTTCAAGATGATAGGCTTCGCGCGGCTGAAGACCTTATCGCGGAACTTCAACAAGTCACAGATGGTACGATGACACCTCCAGCATCCCCGACTTCTGGTAGAGGGCTGATGGCTTAAAGGCCACAGTCCACTTCGTAAAGAGGTTACTGAGGAAGTCCAACCCCTTTATTTGAATAAGTGTTCGAGGCTTGCAGAAGAATTGGATGTGTGTTCTTGGGGCAGATGAATGTATAGACTTTGTGGCTGAGTCGGGCTGATTGCATTCAGGCCCAGGATGTGGGTGTGTGCGTTCTGCCTGGCCGTCTGCTTCCTCTCGGCAGACCGAGGTCCTCGGCACTGCTCATTGCTCCTGCAGCAGCTGCGGGTTGCTTAAGGCCCTCTATTCCCACCAGTGCGCGACTCTCGGGATCCTCATAAAAGCCATGAAGCTCAAGAATCAGGAAGAGGCGAGCACACCCCGGTGGCTTTGTAGCTTGTGGGCGGTGAATTGTTCTGTGCTTCTCCGTGGACTTTGTACAAGGTGTATATTGCTTGCGCGTGCGCTTGTGGATGCGATTGGCAGCGTACTGCATGTGCTTGCTCGGGCATCTTCTGTATTTTGCTGGTTCGGTGCCGTCTGATGTGAATGCTTAATTCAGAGTAATAAAGTGGATGACTCTACTGATTCGACAGTTTTGCAGGCCAGTCACATTCGCGAGGCCCTGGATGGCTGCCGAGGTTTGTGCTCCCCAGCATCATACGTTGGTTGTCTCTTTAGTACACAGATCAGCATGCTTCTTGTGTTGACCGCTGTGCGTCGCCAGATAGGTACAGAGTGATAAGTGATGCCGAATTAGGGCTGAGGGCTTGTTTGTTTTAGTTCGCGTTTATGCAGAGTGCTTCACGAGCTGTTGCGATGCCGTTTTGGCCCGCATTCGGGAACTGAAGGGCATCGACGGGCCGGCATTAACCACAGAGGTTAAGGGCCTCCGCTTGCCTGTTTTTGATGCGATGTTTGGCTTGAGCCAAGTCGCAAGTGTCTCCTTAGCCCTGTTTTTATCCGTTCTTCAGCAACTCGTGGTAAGCATGCAAAGTAAAGGGACCACACTGTCTCATCTGTAATGAGTCCTACCGGCAACAGCTGGTCAAGAGAGACTGCAGCAGTGGCCGCAGAAACAACGCCTCAACAGGGTGCCTTGCCGTTTTCAGTTGCGCCTAACAGTGGAAAGAAAGAATACAAAGACAGCTGTTGTGCCAAACGTGCTGCTGCTGTGGTTGCAGCTGTGGCATCGGGCCCTCAGCCGAACCCTTGGCACGTCGTCAACCGCTTTCTCCGTCTTGCTGAAAGACGTGCAGCCTTCAGTGGCTGCATTCCTAGAGCATATCAAAGAGAAGCGCGAAAGTGTACGCTTTCGCGATGGCCAGGGCTTGGGGGAAGTATTTCAGGTCAGGGATTTAGTGTTCCAGTTGTATGCATGCGTGCTTGCAGCTTGTGGACGCCACCGAGGTCGCAACCCAACTCGAGGCTAAAGGCCAGCTTCCCTGGATGGCGTCTGCTACAGATTTGCCCTACGCCGCGGCTGACGACTCTGTAAAATACAAACACATATTAGGTTTTTCTGTGCAGCACTGCCGAGTCCTTGAAGCATTGCAGTTTCTGAAGCTGTGTTTACTTTACTGAGACTGTCTACGACCACGTTTTGCCTTTTCGTTTGTGCGCCTGTGCATGCAGCTCATGGAGAAGGCCCGGGAGAGACTGCGCATGCGTCTCTGCAGCTCTTACATTGAGCAAGCAGTGGTGTTATGCTCGGTGGGTTCCTTTGATTGCAAGTCTAGATCCTAACTCCCAAATGCGCAACCGTAGAGCTGTGCGCATTGCTTTTCGCCCTTTTGTGCCGGCGGTCGGGGAGAGTAGAAAAGGGACCCTCATTCTCGTGAAGATTCGTGCTGGAGTTGGTTTATTGCATGCAGGTTCTCCGGTACCGCATCGCAGCGTTTACAATGTGGCTGGATCAGGGATCAGCGGAATCGGGATGGAATCCGTAAACTGTGGGCAGGGGAACTCCACCAGCACTAGCGAGAACAGGGGCTCCTCACAACACCAACCTGAGATAGGCCTGCCTCTGACTAACTGAAGCTATTCCCACAGTAGTGGCTGCAGTGAAAGCCTCAGCTCCTAGCCAAGTGGCTTTGGTATCATTTGCGGTGTGTACCAGTACACTGCACTGTCTGCGGATACTGCTACCGCTACTTGTGCTTCCCACGAACCGGCCCCAGATGTCTGTCAAACTGCACGCATTTGCATGCTCTGGATCTTAATGACCTGTAGTTTAGCCTCCGTGCCTCAGCCCGCCGAAGAGGCTGTGGAAACAGTCCTAGACTGAAACCGCCGCAGTAGCACGTTTAGCTGCGTAGCATGCGTCAGTAAGAGAGTCTGCGGGTGAGCCTCAGGCAGATCCACAGCCTCTACTGGCGCGGTAGAGTCTCCTGAAAGACTACGATATCTCTCGAGTTCGCTGTTGCTGCTGCTGCCTTTCCCCGCAAGCACAATCAGACGTGGCACTTGCAGCCTTGCTAAACACTCAAACAGCCAGCCTGCGATGCTGGCCTCTGGAGCTTCTCCGTGCCATGGTGCGAGCAGCAGACAGTCTTCAATGAACCCAGGAAGGCGCGCGGCCAAGAAGCAACTGCCGCTGACGTGTTGCACTCGCAGCAGCAGCTGTCTGTAGAGCTCCTGTTTTTCCTTCAGTGTCTGACGCTGCTGCTGTACGTGCTCTGGAATCTCCGAATTTGCGCCACCGGGGAAATTAGTGAGGACCCTAGGATTGCAAAGCAACTGCTGAAGCAGCGGCGGCTGCTGCTCCCCTGCCTCCAACAGCTGCTGGAGGGAGGGTGGAACTTGGCACGGCTTTGAAGCCATTGCCTGAAGTAACACTGCGAGTGCAGCCCCCGGCGTCAACCTCGCCGCGCCGCTGGCGATCCATTCAAGGCCAGAGATTTTAGGAGGCGGCACTGGGACTCTAACAGAGCCCTTGGGCAGACGCTCCAGTAGCCGTCTGTATACCGCAACACGGTTTAAGACGTGTGCCTCTAAAGGTCCCCCAGCTGTTTTCGCCTGCAGCTGCAGCACGGGCTCCACTAAGGAAATGCTGCGCACCTTACGGGGGAAGAAATGGCCGAATGCAATTGCATGAGCACAGCCAACACCAACGCCCAGAAGGTGAAGCCCAACTTCGGATTTCTGGAGCTCTGCAGCGGTGGAAAGCTGTTGCTCCTTCTGCAGCTGCAGCACGCGACTTACTACGTTGTTGAACAGCGCCGCCTGGTGCCAAAGACGATTTCTGCACAGCCGGGCTCTGTCCTCCGCAGTGACGCAGGTAGCTCCTTCAGCACTGGAAGCGACCCTCTTGCGTCTGTAAGGTTGCTGCTGCTGGAATGCTTCCCACAAAGTAGGAACACACGAACGCAAATAGCCTTGTCTATTGATTAGCAGCAAGTGTTGAATACTGGGCGGGAAACGCAGGCCTGAAGCCAGAAGCTGGTCACTCCCACAAAGACCGCCGTGGAAGAACAGCAGCATGTCACCCGCATTCTCGGGAACAGCAGGTGTGGCAGTGGCAGCTGTAGCAGATGCTATATTTGCTGCAGAGTCTGCACGATTTTGCAAGTATACATATTCTGTCGACTCCCCAGAGGACTCGTAAAGGGTGCTTTTGAGCTGCGAATGGCTGGCGCTATCTGCACTGTCTGCGAATGCGCCAAGCAAACTGGCTGCTGCAGCGCATGCGCCCGATTCAACAAAGGCCTGTTGCTTCTTCTGCCACCTCCAGTGAGCGGTGATGCCGAGGACTGCAGCGAAGGCAGGAAAGGCCCATGGAGCCTCGGACACCACCGTGGGGCTGGCAAGAGAGCTCACGCAACGTGAGCCGGCAGGCGAAAGCCGCGTGATCGGTGCAGGTGCATGCTCCCTACAGGTGTTACTGACTGAGAACTTGACTGTGCCGCAATGGCGACGGTAGAGACTGATGCAGCTGCGGCAAGAACGCACTCGCCAGAAGTGCGTTCTGTTTGCATGCACTGCAACCGGAGCTGCACCTAGGGCTTGCGTCTGCAGCGGCATTGTGTCCTAGCTCACAGAAGCTCTGCTCTGTCCACGCCACTCCCGAAGCAGCAGCGGACCTCACCAGAGGAAAGCTGCATATGGGATATGCTGATTAAGTGGCAAGAAATGCCACCTAAAACTTCTGTTGCTCGCTTGAAAATGACGTTACCAAAGGCGGGAAGACGCAGGCTCGGTGGTTCATTTCTAAGGTTGCCTTCTACTGGGGCGGCTGTAATCTGACGGTCCAAAGGTAGCACATGCAGTCAAATTGTGGCAAAGCCGCAGGTCCGTGAATATAAGAATATCGAAACACAGAACTGTTGAGGCAAAGTTGTTGCCCTCTACTGGGGCGGCTGTAATCTGACGGTCCAAAGGTAGCACATGCAGTCAAACTGTGGCAAAGCCGCAGGTCCATGAATATAAGAATATCGAAACACAGAACTGTTGAGGCAAATTTGTTTCTGAACACCCCGTGTCTCCACACATAACTGTATTGTAGGCTTATACATGCACCTGCACAGTTGCTGCTCGTGATGGGCTAGCCAAGAGAGCGGCGAAAGCACATATTCAGATTAAAAATTTGACAGCCATTATTCGCCAACATCGCGATGGAAGTTCAAATATAATTCACGCATCGGATCTCCGTGCATGCGGGAGCTTGTCATTTACGGGGCTCATTTGAGCTCGGGCCTGCAGCGCTTGCTCAGCAAACGTCCTATTCATGCATTAAAAGAATTAAAACGTCACCATTTCTTCTTCTCCACCCATGCAAGTCTTACTTAACATTATATTCCGTAATAATTATTAGAAAGTGTCGGGCTTTGGGCTCATTCTTTGCTTGTGCACGCCTAGGCGGCGGTTCACGAAGACATCCCATGGATTCTGCTGTGGCGTACTAATCTCTTACTCTAATTGCACTGCATCCCATTCTATTCCTCACATTAGCGTCAGGCTCCGCACATCTGTGTCCCTACTTTGATTTCTATAATGGCGACGTCTACGCGAGTTCGTGCAGCGTAGACCCTCCCTTCTGTCACACGACGACAGATCACCACAGTTCCCCTGCGTCAGGCAGATGGGAAGCTGCGGTAATCGTTATTGTCTTTCGTCCGTGTTTAAACGTCTTTCGGTCCCTTACTGCGCCATGATGGGACCTCAGAAGCCCCACGTGCCCCTCAGCCCTCAGAAGCTGGTCCAGTACACATCAAAGGGGCTGCGATGCGGGGTCGCCACAGCGCTTTTGACCGTCTCGAGCTCTTTTATGCTGTCTGAGGCGACACAACAGCAGCGCCATCACCGTGAGGAAGAAGCTGTGGGCATTATGGACACATCGGCAGTGGCCGTTGCCATTGGACTTGCTTGTGTCGCGATTGCGGGCGCCTTCTACTTCTTCAAGGACCGTTTTTACAGCTCAACATCAAGCTCGTGAGCTAAGCTTTCATTCTGCGGAGACAAGCACTGCGCCTGTTCCGTCAGAATGTCTCGACGGGCTGGTGCTCAAGGGCTCAATATAAGTATACCTTTTGCATGAGTGAAGCGCGTTGCGTTTAACTAAGGCTCTGCCGCCGGCAGCTTGATCCCTAGCAGTCAAGGGCAGCGGCCTAGGGTCCTGTATTTTGTGCGTATTGCAGGCCGCAGTCGCGGACTGGCGAAGCCCGCAGGCGGAATGTAGACCGGTCGGCTTTGGAGGAACTCATGGCCGGGGGCGCAGGAGCCTCCGCAGCCCGGAGCTCCACATACGCCACCAGTACAGACCTTCAAGCGGCTCAGAAGAAAAAGGAAGAGCGGGAGCAGCGTCGCGAGCAAAGGCGGCAGCAGGGAGAAGCCGCAGCTCTGGCGGCAGCAGCTGCAGCCGCTGCTGCTGCTGCCGAAGCTGCATCAGAGTCGGATCATGAGGGCGCGGCACATATGTCTAACAAGCAGGCAAAGCAGGAGGCATACAGGAAGCGTCAGGTACTGTTCGCTATGGTTGCACGCGTAAACGCTGTCTCAGAAGCTTCATTGCCCCTCACAGGTGCCTGCCCGAGGGCTCTGCCTCCATGACCGGCTTCCTCTACAGACCTTCAGCTCTTGCTAGATTGTCGACGGAGCGTGGAGAACCTGATCCCCTTTAATGACGAATAGTCAGTTGGGTGCGCCCTGCTGCAGTAGGACTACCTGCTGATTTTTGGCGCTTCTTATTTTCAGGCTGAGAGAGACAGGCTGCGAGCTGAACGCGAAGCTGAAGAGGAACGATTAGCTGAAGAAAAGCGAAAAAAAGAACAGGAGGAATACGAAGAATGGAAGGTAAGGCACGCGAGATCTAGCTCTAGGGCTAGGATGCACTACATAAGACTCTGAACTGAGTGGGGCCGGTAGAATTGCCGCAGCCACAAGGCCAGTGAGGCAGTGTTTGTAAAGTGCGCCTGACGAATTGGAGGTTTGCTTCCCGCCAAAGGTGTAGGGAGAGTATGTTTCAAATCCTAAGGTCCAAGCTTTAGGCGTGGTCAGCAGTGTATAGGTATGTATGCGTCCATGTGCTTGCAAACTCGTGGGATATACGCTCACATCCGTATTCACTTTTGGAAACGGACTGCAAAACAGCAGCGTCACAGGCCAGCGGCCATACCTCCATAGGGAATGTGCAAGTGCATTAGCTCCATTTCCCCCTATTTGAGTGGTAACAGCGCGCAAAATTGCAGCTTGCTTGATGCGTGCATGCATTGTTTGCGCTTTCACATGCATTCTCTGGGACACTTTGCAGAAAACGTTTGAAGTTGAGGCCGAGGGAGAGCTGCACGTCACCCCGGAGGAAGAGGCCAAACGACTGGAGCAATTTTTGAGTTTTATTCGAATGCGCAAAGCTGTTGAGCTAGATGAAATAGCGGCGGAGTTCGGTCTTAAAACGAAGGTGCTTTCTCGGTTTTTTTCAACCCGTTTCCCGCCTTTTCCTTCCATTTGCCGCCTCAAACGATGCAGCAGAGCAACGGCGGCCTACTGCAGCAAACCTGAGTTCAGCCTTTGTGGTTGTTCTGCTGCAGGATTGCGTGAAACGGATAGAATGCCTGCAGGAAGGGGGCCGACTGTGTGGAGTGTTGGACGACCGCGGGCGTTTCCTTTGTGTGACAAAAGAGGAGTTGCACAAGTTGGCAGAGGCACTAAAGAGCCAAGGCCGCTTCAGCAAGGAGACGGACCTTGTCTCCATTTGTAACCGCATCATCCGCCTAACCCCATCTGACGAGGTGCTCTGTCAAACCTAGCTAGCGTAGCGCTGTATCTTAGCCTTCAGCAGATATGTGTGCTTGCCATGTGCGTTGCTTTGCAATACGTATTTTCCGCTTAAATGTGATGTGCATCATTATTGCATGTTCATTGTATTCGTTGATGTTCAAGGTTTGTATTGTCCCGCGTTTTTTTACAAGGAATTCATCATTCTTAGTCCACTTCCGCTCACACCGTCTTCAAAGCTCGATTTCCCGTTTGCACGGCGCAAGGGGAGCCGCCACATTGCAGCCTCTTGCCCCAGTGCTTGCCTTTTGTCTGGCTTCGGTGTCCTGGATATGTATGGAGAGCACATGCCCGAGCCTGTCGGAGTTCACCCACCAGCCCGTGATAGGCTTTCAGTACTGCGCGCACCATGTTTTTTGAATGCGAATGGGTTGTATGCGCAGGACAAGGCCAAGATAGAGGAGGAACAGCGTACATCCATGAAGCTTATTGAGCTCGCAGCTGCTGAGGAGTAGAAGTGCCGCTAATCTACGAGTACCTCTTGGGGTACTCGTGAGCTACGTACGGAAGTTGCAGCAGAAGCTACACGGAAGCAGCTGCTGGCCCACAACGGCAGCAGGCACCTAGTAGTTCGCTTGTGCCAAACTGACTCTGTGGCCGTAGTTGCGCTGCTACTGCTGTTAACTATCCGCCTGCATTGGAACCCTGGAACAACGATGCTCCCTAGGGATAGATAAAGCCTAGACAATAAGCGTTAACACAACGATGCACGCATTTAAATGCACCTCTGGCAGGCCTTCGGTTTCGAAAATCCACCACAAAAAGAAACGCAGCAGCTTTGGCAACAGCAAAACCTGCCGGCCGCAGCTCCTACGCACCAAACTGAGGGCACGACTGACAGTGCTTACCCCATCGCCGGGACGCGATGGGGTAGCAGCAACGCTGCTCCTGCTGCGCGCATCGAGGGCCCATAGACACACATCTTCTTACTGACCCCCTTTATATTCTAATTTCTGCTCTCCCAGTGAGATGCAGACTACAGACACAACGCAAGGGGCCAGTTGCGTGCACTATAGAACCGCCTCCAGCCCCAAAAGCTCCCATCCGCGCACAAACAGCTGCGGCGGGCGCTGCGCTGTGCAAGAAGACGACGATGAGATGACGCTGCCGCACACTCCAGCTCACTTGCGCACCTACTGGCTGGACATACACTTGGCTGCTTCTGGTTAGCGCGTTGGGCCCTGGAGCCCCTCTGTCTGCTGGACTGCAGTCTGGCAACTAAACCACACTCTCACCATCTAGACAACAAGCTGCGGTCACGAAGGCAGCGCCAAGCTGTACCGGGGCTATCCCGTATGCACGCATACACGCTAGACGACCCCGGCACCGCAAGTAGGCCTGCCCTCTTCAAAAACGGATTCTAATTCCTCCGCCTCACTAGAGACCCCTGCAAGTACGGCAGGCGCATCTCCACAGCCATCCTAGACCAGTATTAGCGCTGGCCACCATGCTCTTCCAAGGCCAAACCCAAATCCGCCACACTTATAATCACCTATCCTGGAAACCCACAGAGAAACTGCAACCTCTGGGCTTTGCTGTACGGCTCCCCCACTTCTGCTGCTACGTGCTCCTCCACACGCGGCGATGCCTCAGCATCGCTGGCACTTGTGGAGGTCGCCAACACAGTGCTGGGTTGCTGATGCGGCAAAGGGGGCGGCCCTGTAGCTGCGGCCGGAACCACAGAGCCAGTGAGACACGGAGCCCCCACAAGAAAGCCTCCTGCTGGTTGCGCAGCTGCGGCCGTTCCGGTAGCAGCGTCAGGGCCGCTGCAGGCCGCTGCAGTGTCATCAGAGAGCGAGGAGATCGCTGAAGGGCTCGTTATTCCTTCTTGAATAGTGTGAAAAACGCGCTGGTCTTCATGGCCGACCCATTGCCCCGCCCCAGCTGCTGCTGCTGCTACTGTGGGCTGGAGTACGGTCCTCACCACGTGCTCTTTACAACAAGGGTCCCCAGGCACCGGCGGGTGCACATACGTGGTGGCTGCCCCCACAGTGGGACCAAAACTATGCTGGGGAACGTCCTCAAAAGAGGCAATGAAAGGCACGGCAGCTGGCTGCACCGTGTGCCCCTGGGAAGTAACGCCCGCACAGAAAGGAGGTTGGCTCGACGTTGCGACGTATGGGTTCCCTGGTGCTACTGGAGCTGCTGGAGGCCCGCTTTCCCCCGCTTCCTCTTCTGTAACTGCGCTCTCACGATCTGGTGCTTCACATTCCTCTAAGAACGCATCTGTCTCATCTTCTGAGCTCGAAAAGCCACTGTCGCTCCCGTAGTCTGACAGGTCCGGTTCTGCCCAAGGGCCCTCCTGGTCCAGCTGGTCGCTACCCTCCGGATGGGGTGTGGGAGTGACACGTCCCTCCTGATGCGGCTCCTCCCCGGTGCTACCAGCGACACTCTGTAGACCTCCCGCTGCTAACCGTCTGGCCTCCTGATGAACGCCTGCTACAGTCTTCGCATGCACCTGACTGTGAGCTTCTGCAGCTGCTGCATGAGCCTGCTGCGCTTGCATGTGGGCGTCAATCTCTTGCTGCATGTGAGCCGCCTTGACGAGGGCCCTCACATGTTCACGCACGCAGAGAGCCAGCGGGGAAATAGACCCACCCCTCACGTTGTAGCCACCTTCCAGTACGCTGATGCAGCGGCCTCTACAGTGCCGGTGCGCCACTCGCTGCACCTGCATGGTAAGCCAGTGGAAGTCATCCTCAGTCCACCCCACGGCTTCACCCCCAATAGGGTCTTTGATGTGTCCGTCAAAGCCCGCACTCAGAAATATCAAGTCGGGCCTAAATGCCTCCAAGCGACTCAAAACGCGATGCTTGAATAGCAAGCGACTGCGGATGGAGCGTGGTGACAAACCAGGTCGCCGGCAGTAGTGGCACCGATAGCCACCCTCATCCCCAGAAGCACAGGTAGCATCTGCCGCTGCAGTACCCAGATGAGCACCACGGGGTTTCGGCCCAATGCAACTTTGTTCGCTGCAACGCTCGCACCGGCAGCACGGATCTCCTTCTGATCCCTCCACAGGCGTCGAGCAAGCCCCATGCACAGGCATCGTTACGTTCAGGATAGTGGGGCCGCCTGCAGCAATACCAAAAGCCAGCCATTGGTTCCCCGCATTCGAACCCGACTCCCATACTAGGACGTCCCACAAACCAACAGGCACAACTCAACGTGGACGAGCAGCTACAGCCAACAAGCCAGGGAAACTTAGGAAGACTTACCAAAATCCTCACAATCCGCGCCCGTACCCGGGTAGAAGTTGCCGTCGAACGCTGCAGGAAGCAAAAGCACGCTCAGGCTGCAAGTGATATACGTGAAGGCAGCACAACGCGGTCGTGACAGCAGCAGCTTTGCTACACCAGACCAGTAACGTCCTCATATGACTAACATATGACTAACCATGTATAGATGCAAAGAACAACTCCTCTGAGTCGTTCTCGTCGCGCCATCCTAACCACATGGGGAGCTGAACAGGAACGTCCTGGAGAGCTGCACCGTCCTCTGGCGGCGCTCGAGCCCCCTCCGCTTCCCATGAATCTGATGGAGGTCCCCAGGGTGCCTCCCGATGCGTGCGCTGTCCTGCCGCGGGCGAGCTTCCATCAGCCAGCAACGCTGATAACCCCTGAGCCACATCCAATGAACAGGCACGTCCCCAAAAGCCAGATGTACGTACGGACGAATATCCAAGAAGCAAATTCTCAACTGCCACTACTAAAGTGCGTAGATAGGACCGCAATTAAAGCTCGGAACAACAGTACAGTCAGCAACAGCAGAAATTCCTACAGCGAAGACAGCAACGAAACTGATAGTCGCTGTTTTTCACTATAGGACCTAGTGCCTGGCGCAGGGCTTCCAGTGATTCCGGCCCTCTATATTCACCTGCAGCTTTCTGAATTTAAGGCCGACATTGCGCATGATTTGTTCAGTGCCGTTTCCATGATGAGCATCGAAATCGACAATAGCAATGCGCCGGATACCTGGGCGCAGCATCAGCAGCAGCCGTAGAATCGATTGGCAAAAGCAACAGCCGCATGCTTCACACCAGCAACTACTACACACAAAAAGAAACAAAGGGGCTTTTTCTAATTAAAAATAATTAAACTGTTCTACAGTGTACTGTTGAGTCTAGCAATAGTGCGCAATCTCTAAGCTCCAAAAGAGTGCGCTGTCCCAACGAACCTTTATGTGCGTAATTGTAGCGAGCGTACGCAGCCCCAATTGCCACATTATTTAGCACGCAAAAACCCTGACTCCCAGCGCTGAAGTCACAAAGCCACACAAGGTCTAGCCAGCAACCCTAAACCACACGGCCCATGCACTCCCGAAGTGGTGAACAGGCACCACTCCAAAAGTACGTACAACAACCCTAGGAAGGACTCCCACGAATCTGAACAGCAGCTTCTGAGTCCTGAGGCCTAGCTACACACTCCCATTACTATTCATATACAATGATGCACGCTCGCGCATCTATTGTGCAGATGCGCGTGCAGGTGCACACATTGGGGATGCACACGTGGTTCAATCCAAGCACGTTCACGTACACTATTCACACATGTAATATGCATAAAAATGCATCAGCTTCTGGTGCGCCAGCACAGTACACACGAATGCGCCATACACACGTATATACCCATGTACAGGCAGAAAAGTGAGGGAATTGGCAAAAGATTTACGCGATATCCTCGTCGGTAAGGGCGTAAGGGGCCGTCTGCGCTGCTCCCCAGCTTCCCAAGTGGTGGCCTGGGGGCCGCACTGCAGCGAAAAACCGACGTACACTTGACAGCAGATTCTGGAGCAGAAGAGAACAAGCTGCTGCTGCTGCTACTCCAGTTTAGAGCAGTAACACAAGCTTCATCAATAACACGGACGAGCACTCAACGAAGTATCGCGTAGCCACTTGCTGTATACCGCCGCTCAGCCGGCACACGCTACCCTTGCTGCAGCTGCCGCTCACCCGCACAGAAGGCGTTCACTTTGGCGCCAGTGCAAACGGCATCTACTGCAGCAATAACAGTGCCGGCCGCACTAGTTGCTGCTTCCCAGCTGAGCGCTGTCACAGGAGTGTCTCCGTCAGCAAATGAGTAGGCAAACTGATCCACGGGACTCGGCCCACCATAACTGCTGCTACTGCTGCTGCCGGAGAACGACTTATTCACTGACCGCGTACCAAAGGTGCTGCGGATTCTGAGGCCCAAAAAGACACAAAGCATGGGAGAGTCACCACGCAGGTGCAACTTCGGAAGCAAAAGCAAAAGACGCAACAAAGCAACAGCTTAGGTCCGCCAGTCTGTGCAGCAGCGCGTGCAGGGGTCGACGCCCTACCAAAACCCATTGCTCACTTCTGCTTAAGCTTGAATATATAGCTAACATCGTGAACCCGAAGAATGTCTGCCAAGGAGGCTGGAGCCGCGTTATCAATCCAATCCAGGTGACGAAACTCCGCAGCCTTCAGAACCCCAGAGGACGGATGCACCAGCACCTGCAAGGCCAGTCCGTAGCAGTGAACAATGCAGCATAGGAAAGATGCACTTGGCTCTCCTGATACAACTATAGGCGGCGAATGGAGGCTAGCAAAAAAGACCTAATTCTAAACCCGGAGAACCACAGTGTCGCACCTCAAGCCTGCTTGGGTTCTCCGGGAACCTCTGCATCAGCTTGAACCTCTTAACCGGGAAGTCTGATGGCTCGGGCAAAGGCAAGTGATGCATGCAGCTCTCGTGGGTAGCCAAGAGGGTCCCAGCAGCCTCCGGAACGCGGTAGCACCGGCCACTGCGACTGCAACGCTGCTGTACGTACGCAATGGGACCCTGCAAGGGCCCCCGGCCCCCTGTGGCCTCTGCGATAACTGCCTCGGCGACGGAGTGAGACGGTTCAGCGTCCACCAACTCAGAGAGAGTTGAGAGAAACAACTGAAGGCAGCCACTACGGCGGGCGAGGCTGACGAGTTCCTGCAACTGCTGCGCGTGCAGCAGCTGCAGAGCCATAACCGATTCAGGAGCCTCCGCTGACGGCTCGCTCCTGTTGCTGCAGGCAGCAACTAAGGGGTAAGATAACAGCGCGGCCAGGCAGCGGAAAGAGCAGCGCCGCACGCACCGGCGTGCTATGCGGTACACCAAACTGCTGCTGGTCGCACAATGCACCAAGGGCCTCCGTTCAGCCCGCTGCAGCACAACCTTCTTTGGTGCCCTGGCATCAGGACATCCCCCCACGGATGCTGCCTCAGCTGCGCTGCCGACTACCAACCGGTCCTGCTGCTGCTGCTCCAGCTTGTCACACCAGTAGAAGCAATCTTCCGGGAAAGTGTGCGCCAGCAGCAGCAGCAGACATCCAACAGAGCGGCTGTCGACAGCCACATGCAGCGGCAGAAGGCCCCTCTTGTCCGCAATAAGCGGGTCCGCTCCTGCGTGCAGCAGCAGCTCGACTGCAGCAGCCCCTCCTCCTGCAGCAGCAACGTGCAAGGCCGTCTTCCCGCTCCCGTCAGTGGCATCCAAGTCCAGTTCCTGGAGACCGCACTCAACCCTAGGAGGGCAGTTGCCACTGCTGATGCTTCTGCCCCTGCTGCTTGTTGCTGTGAAGGTGCATCTGCTGCATACACGCGAGCCTCCAGTGGTCATGTGCAGCAGCCCCACGTGATGCAGCAGCCGCCGCAGACACTCTGCAGCGTCTGCCCGCACGTGAGCAAAGGAGGACCTGCCAACAAGAATGTGGAGGGCTGGGATATCGTCAAGCGGGAGAGAGAAGTCCACAGTTGCTGCTGCTGCTGCTGCTGCTGCATTCGCTGCATCAGTAGCCCACTCCCCGTGGGCAGAAGTTCCCTCCCCGCTCGGCGCTACACCCACGCACTCTCCTCCTCCGCCGCTGCTGCTGCTGCTGCAGGCCAAGAGGCACTGCGGCGGCATCTGAACGGGAGGCGGGTTGAGGAGCAGCGACAGTATACGCGGCTCGCAGACATGCAGCGCCACGTGAAGGGGCGTTTCACCTGTACAAAAACACGAAAAACTAAATCACAACTGTGTTCGTCATTGCCTGCCCTGCATCTCTAACGTGCGGGGAGAGCAACAGTAACAGCAGCTGACCTGCATGGTTGAAGTCGTTGATTGTATCTCGGCAGAACGGATTGCTCAGCCACTGGCGGACACCCGGGATGTTTCTCGCAGCAATCAGGCGATGCAGTGTCCCCTCTCTGTAGCAAGACACGTCCCCAGTAAGGTGCAGCAGAGGCTGGTGAGGCCCAGTCGGCGCGCTGCCACTGCTGGTGCTTCTGGCAAGCGACACGCCGCCTTGGGGAGACACAAAAACAGCGCAGTCCGCCATGCCCAGTGCCACGGGAGGGCAAGCGGGGTCCGCTTCTGGTCTCATTTATGCCCCTGCCGCAGCAGCTGCTGCTGCGTTGCACGATGAGTTCATGTACCCGCTGCCGCAGTAGCCCCTCCCAGAATTGTTGTCCGTCCTGTCAAGCCTGCTGCAGCCACTACGACTGCTACAACTGCCGCTATTTGTGTAGCGGCTGCTACGTGTGCTGCGGCAGGCCAGGCAGTACAAGCTGCTGCAGTCACTGCCTGGGTCACTGCGGCAGCCGCTGCAAATGTTGCCTCGGTGTGAAACCTTTTGTGCTCCGAATATGGGAGGGATGAGTCGATGGAAGGCTCAACACGACCACCAGCCCAGTGGACCAGCCGGTGTGGGGCCCGCAAGCTTCACCCCAGACGAGAAGCTGTTGTGTACGGAGGACTCTCGGCCACGGAGACTGCCATGTGCACCCAGTATACGGACACTTAGCCACGTTATACTGAATTCGGGGGGTTTCTAGCCTCAGGAGCTAAACAGATAAAATCCCGCCCCGAACAAATTAGTAGTTGTCTATCTGTCCTACGATATACCTCCGAGAAGGGCCCCCTTGCAAAGAAACGTTAGCGGTGGGGAGTCCTCCTCTCCTTGAGTTAGAAGAGGGACGAAGGACCACCCTCAAGCAACAAAAATAAACAAACTCTGGGGACGGAGCCTTAAAAGGCCCCTAGAACGAAGTAGGAAAGAGAGCCGTCCGGTGGGAACGGATCGCGCTGCGAAAGCCTCGAGGCAGCCTGCTGCTGCTGCAGCACACGGGCAGCTGCAGGCGGGGTGCTGCTGCTGCTGCAGCTGCTGCCTGCGCACCGCTACAGCTGCTGCAGCGCAACAGCTCAAAATCTGGAGGGCATTCGGGCCCCAAATTTTTCCCGTTAGGCTTCCACAGGAGAAAATAAACGGCTCCTGCAAAAAAGAAGCACTTTGTCATCAATTCACAGCAAAAAGCCACAATAGCAGGCCGACCTGCTGCTGGTGCTGCTGCTGCTGCCTGCTGCCGTCGCTGCTGCTCACCCCGCGCTTCATCTGCTGCTGCACTCACGCGGCGTTGCCGGTAGTTGGGTGCGGCAGAGGGGGAAGTGGGCATTGTCCCAATTTATTCCATCTATTGAAGTTCAATATATACACAAAACGTATTTTTTTACAAAAAAATGTCAGCACTAGTTGATGCGAAAGGCGCGACAACTGCGCAGAAGGTCCGACCCTTGGCTGCCGTTCGGTGTCCTGCGGAGCATAGGTATACGTTGTGTGGTTGGATCAAGCGGGTAGGATGCTGAGCTTTGCTTAGTTTAAATCCGCAGATCACGCAGTTGTAAAAGGAAATTAGATTTTTTTAAGGTATGTTGATGAGAAAGGATGCAGCTGACACGCCTTCCACGGCATGACAGGACTCGCCTTCCTTTAAGGGGGCGAGGCGCACAGCAGGACTTACCCGAAGTTTCTGTGTATATGAAGGGACGTTCGGCTCTGTGAGGGGCCACACACGACAGCATTGGATACGGGCAGGACTGAGGAGAGTAGCGGGAGCTCGTTGGAAGCAACAAGCCGTTGGGCCCTAACAAGGGGGGACGGGGCCGGAAGGGGACAGTAGGGGGATGTTTTAGCGTCTTCCAGTGCATGCCACGAGGGGAATCTGGTTCCTGCCTCAGTAGTAGCCGTGTCGAGCTGCTTAAACGTCGAATGCGCCTTTGTTGAATCATGAAACACTCCGTCCCTTGAATGCCGGAGCCTAGGGCAGATGCCACCACGATAGCCACTTCTACTTCACGGGAACGCTTCTAGCTCCCCGAATATGATGCAAAAAACTGTAAAATGGGTCAGTGCTTGATGTGCGATTTACTATGCATCATTGCTTGGCCAGCATTTCCCTATAATGAGGCACATTGTGTAGCCTTTCTGGGGGTATTTTCAGTGCTACATTGTGGCTCTACAGATCTTTACCCCAAATAAAGGGTGAGATATGCAGTCTTCCCTAAGTACTCTCACTTTTTGACGCGAAATACTGTTCTGAAATAGCAAATGCTTTAAATTAGGAACAAGAAGGCGGGCGAATTGGCCTTGTCCAAAGTGAAAGATACACCCTAGAGTAGAAGTTTGTTCTGATTCCTACTGAGAAAATGCAGTTTGTTTGAAGACTTTTCGGCCATACTTCAGTTCAATATCTCAGCTGGCATGTGCTCCAACAGACAGCAAAAATCGGGCGTACCGACGACACCTCAGCGCGAGGAGACGGCTCTGCTCTGCTATGCCGAATAAATGCAATACCTGTCGTATTTGTTGCTGAGAGTAGCACAGACGTGATTGGGTAACGTCAGTATGCATTGTTTATTAGGCTGGTGCCAGTGGATCTTGGGAAGTGGCACTCAGTGGCACGGAGCGATAGTTAATAGTTACTGCTTACCAGTGGTATGCGAAGCGGGGTACCAGTGGCGGAAACGTGGACGCATAATTAGCGAGATGTCACTCACACAGCTTTGGGCGTATACACAGGTTTTTATGACTGTACAAAGGAATATGAGCCTTAATCTGTATAACAGAGTTTCTCTGTGGGCTGTGGTTACCTGTTGCGAAAATATTACCGAATCCATCCATTTTTTAAGCTTTAACATTGTCGGTCTCTCCTATCATACTTTGTGAGTTTGTCACCAGTGGGTATTCGGTGCGAGAGAAAATTGCTGCGTAGATCTGGATCCTAATCGCCTCTTTGATAATTCGTTCATCGTCAGACGGAGACGCAACCTACTCTCTATTCTAACTACTGAATCTGGCAGTCATCTGATCTTCTGTTTGCGTTAAGAAGAATAAGCTTTATGTTGCTCCGTGTTCGTTAAATGTCACTTCCTCCCCTCCCTGTGCTGGCTAGCTCAGTGTGGCCATAGCTCTTAGCCAATAACGGCAGTCACCAATGGTCTTCAGTAAAGCTACTGTGATACAGTCTTAGTCTATCTCGTGGATGTATCTCGTTTTTCTACCACAACTAGGTCCCTTTCACGCGTTTATCACTTCCGTTTAGTACGTCAAACCACATGTTCTGAACTATATAACCTTGAAATCCATTTCTGGGCTACACTGTATTGCTGCGCACTGAACTCCTACCCACGGCGTCTCCTTAGTTCAAGCACCCTGCACCCGGGAGACGTCGCGCGTAAGCACTGCGAAGGTGCAACTATCGCTCTTGCCGTGTGTATAAACCTCCAAAAATGCTGCTGAATACCCCGAGCAGCTCGAAGTTCACGGAATTGCCACCGTCAGTCACTTCAATGTTTCCTACTTTGGTTAGGCCTCAGACTACTATTTGCTCAGCATCGGAGCGTTTTCATTGATTTGCAAGGATTTCCACTTTCTTTTAGCCTGGAGAAGTGCCTTTCTAAACGCTTTTCCGTTATCGCGCTCACAGACACTGCTGGAGCTGCCGGGTCTCATCCCGCCGAGCTCACGTGTAGCCGATGAAGGTGTAGTTATAAGCGGCTCTTAGTAAGTCGGGCTATCCGTAGACGGGATCTAGAGGAATTGTGTTTTGCCTGAGTCATCCCGGTCATGGTGGGGCGCCCTGCCTTGGAATGCATGCGAGACGCCGCACCGGCCGGGGCCAAATGCTCTTCACTGGGCCTCAATGGGTTAAGCTATGATCCGCCAATAAGGCCTAGCTGGGACGTTTAACGTACATGTATGTGCAGTCTCAAACGGGTAGCATTTTGGGTGTGGGATGCCTAATGTTGGAGCGTGCTGATTCGGACTTTTGCATTTGCACCGCTTGCGGGCGGCACCTGCCGCCCGCTGTCTTCCATACCCCCGAGACTTCCAGCCAACGGGGATTTTCATGACAAAAGTTGCGTTTCCTCCCTCACAGATGGTCCACGCAAATAAAGGCTTGGAGCAGAAGCTCTTTCGAGCTTTTGCATCCCATTTCGTCCTAGGTAGTCAAGGCGGGGTCACTGAGGAAAGCAGTTGTGGAGCTTCGGCCAATACCATCATCAGCGGGCACAAAGGCAAGCCATTTTTAGAAGGCTTTCTCCAAATTTCCTTTTGCAGCTCTTTCCATCACGCAAGCTGTACTGTTGAGTATCTGGGTGGGATAGCTGATTCTCATCGCTGATAGGACCATATGTAGAGATATACACTCCAGTGGCCCACTAACGGATGGTTAGAGGATTCTTCAGCAACGCATTTCGAAAGCATAAAGGCAGTTTTGAGAAAGGCAGGGACATGACAAGCCAACGCAGTCGTGCGTGTCCATGCAACGTTAACAGTGCCTGCGATGAAGTAATTTCGCTTTTCGAGTCGGTAACAATGCGTATAATTCAGTTCTTGTGCGTTGAGGTCTCCAATATACCTTAGATCTCAAAATATATTTGTAGGCCTCTTCGAATTAGGCCTCTTCGAGCTTCACAAAATGCAAGACTTCGTCGTGAAGCTAGAGCTTTACTAGCGGTTTGTGTTTCCCCTTGATTTTCTCTTACGCCCACAGTAGCACTGCGTATTTGCCCAGTCCACTGAACAAAGCTTCCTACCTCTGATAAGTTTCTCTCGCGTTTGTACGGTTGATTGCAGCGCACTTCATAACCTGGAACGCTGCAAGTGTCCGCAAGAGCGGCTCAATGGCTAAGTTAAAAGGGCTTGAGTTGATCGAGCAGCCTTTCTTGGCTCCTCTTCTACTATGAAGACTGCTGGTAGGCTGTCTCTTTGCAAGGATGAAGGGTATCTGTTCCGCGCAAAATCGGTAATGTCCTCACAAGCACACTTCCTAGCCGTTTAGCCTTCAAAAGAACAAGTTTCTGCGCATGAACAATAGTGGCGACTGCGTCCTTCAGGTCAAAATATATCTCAAACATGATACATATGGAGGACCCAACTTCAACGAGGCGAAGGTAGCAAGGCACGACATCCAACGGCCAGAAACATATATTGCATGATGCGTCTAAAATGCAAAAGTATTGCCCACTTGGCCGAACGCTGGCTTTCAAGAGAAATAAAGGCTAGCATGTTGGACGAAGTCTGCAAGCAAACGGCCGTTCCGC